ACTCATGGGCCTCTTGTTACTTAGTTAAGAGTATTTTCAGTGACACCCCGGCATCTGGGGATTTCCTCCAATCAGCAGAATATCAGATTTTTGCAACTTCAAGTCTCAAAGCTTATGAATTGCGTGTTTAAACATGTTAGGATTCCCATTGAACAATGAAGAATGCAATTCTCTCCAGAGATAGAACGTTTTGGGTTTCCCCAATCTATGAAAGAGTAGTGTGTGATAAGTAATTGGAACTTTTAACATATCTCCTTGCCATCAAGAATTCCTTGATACCTGGAGTCAAGTATTTCTTTACATGACTGAATAGAAATTTAAGTTTTTTTTATTTGCAGTAAAAGTACATTTTTACATTGAGAATGCCTTGCCTTTCAAGTTTCTCATTGGGGACATAAGCCCTTCTCATTCTGGAAAGTGCAAGCTGCATCTCAGGTGTGATGGTCCTTGGTAAATGTATATAAAAGCAGAGTAGAGTTTTCATATTTAGAAATAGTTAAAAGTTATAGCAAAATCTGGTACATATAGTATTCAACATGAGAACTGCGAATTTGGATTTAAAAAAATTGAACTCCCTGGACAGATTCCCCAGAGAGGTATAATCATAAAAAGCAAAGGATTTGAAGTGTTATTGCTGAGATTTAGGTTCCAGCTCCTTCATGTACTGTATTATTTAGACTCTCTATACCATGGTTTCTTCTTGTGCAACATGGTTACAATAATAGTTTTAACCAGGTGGGAATGTGGCAAGAACTAAAGAAAATAATACAAAGTACTTAGCGCTTTAACATTACTTAGAATGCAGCAAAAGCTTCTTAAGTCCTTCCTACTCTCAGGTACTTCAGGGGACCATGAAGATGGGGCAAGTGAGGGATTGATTTACCTGCCATTGTCTCAGCCAGGATACAGTCCCTTTTCCCCTTTACTTGTTTATATTGGGCCTCTGAAGTAAGGTTTTATTTGTTCCACAGTTAAAGTGTATTTGAAATATCTGAGCTGAAAAGCCACGGTATATTGCTAAATGATAAAAGCATGTTGCAAAATCCTGCTTATAAAGTGATCCTGTTTTTTCCTATATTTATATATTGTCTCAAATGATATTACCAGATGCAATTATTGCTACATGATAGAACCAAAGAAAACTTTTGTTCTTCTTTCACATGTAGCTAGCCTGCATTCTCTATTTTGCAAGAAGAATAAGTGTGTTTCAATAAATATATTTCTCTTAGGAATTTAAAGTATACTTAATTTATTTTGAAGTCTGTATTCTTAAATGGCAAAAAACAAAAAAAGCAAAACAAATAAAAATTTCCTAAAATAAATTGTTCTGTTTTATCCTAGATCTTAGATGTAAATGGCAATGTTCTACCTCCTGGACAAGAAGGAGATATTGGCATTCAAGCTCTACCTAAGCGACCATTTGGCCTTTTTACTCATTATGTAGTAAGAGCTTTAATAAATAACCTCTATTTTCTGTTTATTTTTTACAAGTGGTTGATATCTATCCCTGTTTGCCACATATCTATCCCTGCTTGCCACCTAGGGAAGATACTTGGCCTTTTCTTGAGAGATTCATTGTCCTGAATGATAATCCCTCAGACAAGCCTGTGGGTGTTTCGGGTGGCTCCCCTAGGCTGGGTCACCGCTCAGGGCCATGAAGGCAAGAAAATGGTAACCCTAGAACTAAAACAGCCCTCTAAATCTACACGGATCCTCTCCACTATAAAACCCAATCATTTTTCTTAAATCCTCCCTTCTTGGGAGGGTTGGGAGGGACAGAGATTCAGGCAGTGAGATTAAGTAGCTTTCTTTTAATAGGGGTTTTCCAAGCTACTTACTATTTGCAAACATATTTTTACTCTAATCACGAATAGGAGTTTACATCAATGTAATCAAAAGTCCAGGTTTTACTTGCCAGTTACATAAAGTAGCAATACTTCATTATTTTTCCTGCTAATGTTGGAGAATCAATTCTATTTTTGTGTAAAATATACAAAAATGCTGTGCTTTGAATTATTAGGTTTTTTTTTAAAATAAATTTGAGTATTCACTTGGTTTTCTTACCAATGTTACATATTAATCACTTAGCTAAAGACTTCAGTCCATTTCTCTGAGTTTCTGTGACATTTGTTTTGTGATCTAGCTGAGAAAATTCTCAGGATGGAAGCAAATCTAGTCTTTGTAGCCATAGTTTTTCTTTCTTCTATTGGGCTAGCTCAAGCTAAAATTTCACTTATTTCATGTATTGACTCACCTTCATTCTAATACTTTTTCCTCGAATGTTTAAAAATCCAATTGAAAAGTCACATCCACAGTAATATTAACAAAATGAAAATTTTTTTCCACAGGATAATCCTAAGAAAACAGCTTCAACTCTACGAGGCAATTTCTATATCACTGGGGACAGGGGTTATGTGGATGAAGATGGGTATTTCTGGTTTGTTGCAAGATCAGATGATATCATATTATCCTCTGGGTAATTTTCATTTTCATCTGGGCGTATGTCTGTATGAAGTGATCTTCAGTGTCCTGGAGTGAAACTGCTGCTCACCTTTATAAATTCTTGCCATATGTTTTACTTCCCAGCTACCGAATTGGACCATTTGAGGTAGAAAGTGCCCTGATGGAGCATCCTGCAGTTGCAGAGTCAGCTGTTGTCAGCAGCCCAGACCCCATCAGAGGAGAGGTAAGAGAACTGATTCATGTCACGTTTGTAATTTGTCAGCAATCTAACACATACTTTTAAATAGTAGCTCCTTGAAACAGAATGACCCAAATGATTCATTCACTTACAATGCATGCTAGATAGAAATTCATGCTAAATATCCAAGTCTGATAGAAATGATAGTATACAGAGTAAGACTGTAAAACATAACAAATTTGAATCTTTTCCATGGAAGGGTGGGGCAAAGATGATGTGAATGTTACCAACCCAGTCGCACACCAGGCAAGAGAGGGTGTTAGAAGTTAGCCAGCTAGGATCCAGTTGTTACCCAGGTCTGGAAATGAACATAAGGTCCACACCTGACTTTTGGCACATGTAAATTATTAAGTGTTGCTCATAAAATGTTATAGAATTGCTCACCAATGAACGATTGTCAATATGAAAAAAATCATATTAACTGCAAGCCTGTATTTTTTAAAAATATTTATTTATGTATAGAAGAGCTGGGGTACAGGTCAGAGATGCAGGGGTGGGGGGTAGGGAAGAGGATTCACCAGAGACAAAGCTGGGAGCAGAACAGGCAGACGGACTGGACTGAAGTATACTGCTGAGGGGAGCAGCGGGCAAGATAGGAGAGGTCTGCTTCGCCTCATGGGTTTCTCTCTGGCTGACCAAGGATCGAACTCATGCAGCAGAGGCTGCAGATTGCTTCATAGTGCGGTGCTTAACCCCTTGCGCCACCAGGGAGGCCCGCCTGCATTTTTTAAAATATATTTTATTTAAGATTTATACAAACACTGGGGTACAGGCCAGAGGTGTGTGAGGGTGAGAGAATTCACCAGAGACAGAGTGGGGAGCAGAACAGGCAGACAGACTGAAAACGCTGCTGAGGGAAGCAGCGGGGTAGACTGGAGAGGTCTGCCTCACCATGTGGGAATCTCCCTGGCTGGCTGGGACTCAAACCGGCACTGCAGAGGCTGTGGACAGCTTCACAGCGCTGTACTCAACCCGCTGCACCACCAGGGAGGCCCCAAGCCTACATTTGTTTTTCTTTCTTTTTTTAAAGATTTATTTATTTATTTGTACAAGCACTGGGTACAGTCTGAAGCGTGGGAGGGTAAGAGAGTTCACCAGAGCCAGAGCGGGGAGCAGAACAGGCAGACTGACTAAGTACACTGCTGAGGGGAGCAGTGGGCGGCAGGAGAGGTCTGCGCACCATGTGGGACCCTAGCCCAGCGGCAGGGGATAAAACAGGCGCTGCAGAGGCTGCGGGCAGCTTCGCAACCTAGCGCTCAACTGCTGCACCACCAGGGAGACCCCCAAGCCTGCATTTCTAACTGGTTGTCCCTAGTGATTTATTTCAATTGTCATTCAAATCTTTACTCCTAGATCATGGTAGAGAGGTAATGTTGCCAGTTTATCTTCAAACTGGATACATGAATTTGGCAATGAATTTGGGACTTTGGGAATGAATTAAGATCTCAATCTTTTAAGTGCAGGGTATTTAGTTCTGAAGTGGCAGGAGATACTCCTGGATCAGTGCTCATGAGGAAGCATCATTCCAAGGCAAGCCCTGGGCTGGCAATCTGGATTTGGGTGGTGCATACTAGTTGCCTCATCTAGTGTCCTATCTCTAGGGAGGCAGTGACTTAGGTGAGAACATTACATAAACCCCAGTTCACTCTTAAAGGGTGCTGCTACACAAGAGGAATGGCCTTTTTCTGTCAACTACGTTAGAGAGCCAGAAAGTCTAGGTAGAATTGTCCAGAACATTTCAAGGAAGGGTGAACTTTGGGCAATAGGAACTGTGAGCATAAAGTGGTAACCTATCTTGATGGTTCTCTATTTTAATGCTCCGCTGCCAATGAGCAAGGGCCACCACTACTTCTACTCCTGTACCTCAGGGTCTTATAAGTGGGCCAGAGTAATAGCAAAGTGATGCTGGTATCTTCACTGCCTTGCATCAATGGAAATGTCTCTGGAATAAAGAGTGCATGGTTTTGGGCCTCCCAGGTGGCACAGCGGCTGAGCGCTGTGTTGCGAAGCTGCCCGCAGCCTCTGCAGCGCCGGTTCGATCCCGGGCTGCTCCCCGGCCACAGGAGGAGGGTCCCACATGGCGCGCAGACCTCTCCTGCCGCCCGCTGCTCCCCTCAGCAGTGTACTTCAGTCCTTCTGCCTACCCTGCTCCCCGCTCTGGCTCTGGTGAATTCTCTCACCCGCCCACGCTTCTGACTGTACCCAGTGCATGTATAAACAAAACAAACAAACAAACAAGTAAATAAATAAAACATGCCTCTATTCAAAAAAAAAAAATGTTAAAAAAAAAAAGTGCATGGTTTTAATGAACTGTTTCCTTTTGCAAGGATATGACAAATTGGTGTGAACACTGTGGATAAGGACAACACTGAGGGTAGAACCTATAAGTTAGGTTACAGCAGGTTGGGTTGTTACACAAAGACTGAGCTTAGTGCATTCCCAGTTTTCTAAAAGGAAAGTTCTTAGAAGAATATGAAAGACAAGAAGAGCAGAGATCATCAGAAACAATAGTTAAGCTGTAGTTAGATGAGACGGTTCAAATGCAGATCATTAACAAAGCAGGGGTTCCAGAAGCTGTCTTGTATTAGATACAGGAGTTGTGGGAATTAACTGGCTGGCTTAAGAGCAGAGCTGGGATCAAATCCTGTTAAATCCTTTGCCCCACCCCAATGGGCGCTAAGATCCCTAGCCAGATAAAGTAAACAAGACACGCTAAAACATCAAAATACACAATTCACCTTGTGATGTGTCAAATATTTATTTTAGGTAGTAAAGGCTTTTATTGTTCTGAACCCTGATTACAAGTCACATGATCAACAGCAACTAAAAAAGGAGATTCAAGAGCATGTTAAAAAAACGACAGCACCTTATAAATATCCCAGAAAGGTAGGTACCCTGTGATGAATATTTGCTTAGTGTTCTGGAAAACTGCAGTCATTTTCTTCCATTCTAATTCTCCTCAAACACATTACCTCAAATATTCCAATGTGAATTGAAGACGTGGGAAAGAATCAGTTATTTTGAGATTAAAATGAAACCTGTTGAATCATTTGGTTCACTAGACTTTAGTAAATACTGAGTATCAAGTATACGTCTCCCTTTTTGATTGTTAGTAAAAACCCACCCCAATGTGTACCCTAATTCTGTTACCTAAAGTTCAGAACAGAACTAGTATTGACTTTGTCAAAATATGAAAACTTCTGGGCTGATTTTCTTTCCCTTGACACCAACAGGTAGAATTTGTTCAAGAACTGCCAAAGACTGTCAGTGGGAAGATAAAAAGGAATGAACTGAGGAACAAAGAATGGAAAACAATTTAAATCCATCCCATTAATTACCATGGTATCCATAAAATAAAGACTGAAGAAACCACAAGATCATATATCGGTGATTAAAAAAAATGTGGTACTATGCTTATAATCTGTTCATTTATAATATCTTTTGATTATGACATCACAGGCTGAATTTTGAAATAAAATATTCAGAAAAGTCCTTTGCATTAGTGTCAACATTCCTAAGATTTGGTCATATAATACCATCAATTGTTGAGGAATTTTCAAACTTATAGTACAGAATCAGTTTCTGAACCAAACCTCTGACCTATTGGTTCTCAAACCTCAGTTGTAGTTGATATACAAATGTGAACCAATCTCCAAGCCTTGAAATAAAAACTTAAAAAACTTACAAAAGATTTTATAAAAATAAAAAATATCATTAGCTAGGAGATAACCATAATTCTCAATGTACAAATATCTACCTAAAATAGATTATGGATTTTTATTAGTCATATTGTTATTCAAATAACTTAAGTTTCAAATTTATTTCAAGGCTACTATAAAAGGGTAACAGATACTATTGCTGATTATATTTAACCTAATAGTTTACAAGATATTCTTTTGTGATTCTTAAAAAAGGTTTCATAAGCTCAGCAAATATTCACATATGAAATAAAAATAGTATAAAATTGTCAGAATACTCAGTGTTCAGGATGCATATATGAACAGAAGGCAAATGTTAGATAACTGGGAAGTGAAATAAGAAGTCTGTGACGTGTGTGTGTGTGTGTGTGTGTGTGTGTGTGTGTGCAGATACGTTTCAAATAGCCCCACTAGCCCCACTATAGTCTTCAGGGCTCAAATACTCAAATCCTCAGACCTTGTAGCCTTTATAACCATCTTTACTACACTGCAAGTACATTAAAGTAACAACATATTGATAGTTTAGATATAAAAAAGTTTAATTCCTCATTGAAGGTCTAAGTCTCAGTGAATTTTTTGTAGGAAAACTTACATTTCTGTCACACACATAGCTTGTTTCTGGAGAACTAAAAGTGAGTCCCCCCGAAGAATGAGACAAAATAATGTTACTGGCTCGTTCCTTTTTAAGTGTATGTTCCCATTTGAAATAACCACAACACTTTTTGTTTTCTTGGTATTTCCCAATAGGGCAACAATAGAAAACTTTTCCGTGATTTGGTCCATTGTTAGAAACAACAAGCCTCTTAGATCTTCGGCCACACCTGCATAAAGGTGGTGTCACCTTCCCACTCTTCCAAGGCTCTTGTAGGTTAACTGTAGATGTTAAGACAGATGGGAGAACCTTCCGGGAAGAACTGCTCATTGGGGAGCCATCAAATGATGTAGGCTTTTCTTCATGAATAGTGAAGGTCTGTTTTTTTGCTGGTGGGAAAACTGGGGAACTGGATGAATTCCTTTTAGTGCCACCTAAAAGAGGAGGCTGTTTCCCCAAAACTGAGGAATGAAACATGGTGGCTTGAACACTGTTAAAAGTACTTGATTTACACTCAGGTAATTTAAAGTCAGAATCATTAGAACCTTGATCTTTGGCTGCTTTTACATTATAAATAGTAGTATGAGGACTCTTAAATACAATAGACTTAGAGGTCTCAGATTTTTGAGTTTTTTCTGTGCCTCCAAAGTTTCCATGATTTGACATTTTAGATTCTTTTAAAACCATTATTCTTTCTTCAGAATTAAATGAAGTATCTGAGTTTGAGTCATTAATGGGAGGTATATAATCTACATTTTGCTCAGGCTGAGATGCTGGCAGTAAAGCTACATCTTCCCAGTCAGCCAATAGAGGTAAACAGTCAAGGGTAGAACTAACTTTCATATCAGAAACATGATTAACAGATGAAATGGTAGTTGAAACAAGTACCAATTCTGAACCAGTTGTTGAAGACTTAGATTTGTTATTAAAAGTCAGATGTTCATTTTTCATTTGCTTCTGCATATAAATAGGTGACTTCAAGCTGGGAGATTGAAACTGTCCAAGAAAAGTAGAGGACTTCGTATTTAAGAGAGATAAACTGTTTTTGACATTGTGAAGATTAGTTCTTATATTGCTTTTTAGTTGTAACTGATCTTGCTGTACCTTTGTAGGAGAATTCACACCAACTGACTTCATTTGAACTTTTTCATGAGAACTTACTGTGTCTTTAGACTCCCTAGCATATGTGCTGGGGTCCGAAATATTAGTTTTGCAGGCTGATGTTTCTTCAACTTGATTTGTATTCAAATTTCTGGCCAAAATGTTGGAATTCTTTTTAGTGGAAACCTATGATGCCACAGACAAATCCAAAAACTTCAGAAACTATGCATTTATAATTTCCTCAGTTACATATATGTCAAAAAAGAAAAATGTCATTGATTTATACATGACTGCACACATGAAACCTATAATCATGAACTTACCATTCTAGAGTTTGAGATGACAGAATAAAGAGGCAAAATTCCACCTACCTTGTTCAAATACCTTGTAATTTTCATTATACAACCATCCCTAATCATTTTCCAAGCAAGAAAGGCAGTATTCCGAGAATCATCCAACCCTGTTGAAACAGATATCAAACACTGAATTAATTGGTACTAGTGTAAAGAAATAAGCAAAAACAAACTACTACTTAAGTAGAAATTGGAATATCTGTTAGTTTTATGATCATCTAATTTTATTCTAATAAACTGGTTTGTGGAAAGCTGTGGCATATCACTAATTGAAGATAAGATTTCCCACTTTGATAGAGAAGGTGAAAATTTGTTCATTCACAAAAATGGGGCCGACATTCTGTAGGGACCATGATATGTAAATAATATGGAGTTTTGGTGGAAGCTGAGTGAAGCATGTACATACATGGAGGTGTGAAGTTGTACTCCTAAAATTGTAAAGTTCTATAAATAACTGACAAATTTAAAATTAAGAAACCAAAAAGCCAAAACAAAACTAAAACCAAATGAAAATTTTTTATTTTTTCACTAATAAAATATCAATTACATAAATAGGAACTTTTAGTAGAAAACAGGATATTCCTTATTAATGAGATTACCGAAAATGGGATTCATGTGAAAACCTTTATAAAAATGACATAAATTTTCAATTTATACTCACCAGAATGTTCTCGTCCAGAGAATTCTATTCCTACTTCCTTCAGGGCACCACTCAGTCCTTTCGGTTTTCTTTTATAGAAAATCTAATCAAATAGAAGACAACTTATCTAAAAATTGGAACTCTATGATTACCTATTTTTCACACTTTTTAGTTCTATTCAATCTAGAATGTGCTTATTTTTGTCTAGTTTTAAATACTTCAAAAAATATATTTATATGAAGGTTTCAAAAGACAATTTTTGTTTGTAATAATCCAAACCCATGTGTGACATAAAATTTAATCATTTTTCCATAGAAGGAAAATTAACGTGCCCCCATCTTTGACCCTTACCTTATAAGTTACTCTGAGATCAATCCAAGAATTTAAGAACACAGGCTTTAACAGCTGCTTTCTTTTACACTCATACTCCAGGCAAACCCCCAAGTCCCAATCTGTATTATGTATGTCAAAATAGAACAAAGTTAATGATGCATTGCCAGTATTTTTGTACTTACGCTATCATCATTTATAACTAAATGCTGAAAGATTATATAAGAGAGAATAGTATAATTTAATTTCTTTCCTACTATCTAACAATTATTCACTTTATATAACTTGCTATTACATATTATTCTGTAAACACCCAATGAAATAGAAGAGTAAGGTGTGTTAAATTACAAGGTCCCCATGTTTTTAACTTTTCAGGAAAATATTAATATAGCTGAGAAGCCAAACATCTTACTGCAACCTGAATCCAAATATGACTGACTGTCGTTGTGTTGTTACCAATGACATAGCATTGCTATCAATAACTCTTAATGACAATGACAAAAAAAGATCTTTTTGAAATGGCCCATTTATTTTATATCTACATCAGTAAACAAGAAAGTATAAAAGCAAAAGATGCGAGCTGAAAAGGACTTTTTATCCAATGTTGTAGAAAGGCATAATAGTTTCCTTTACATCATCTTTGCCTGGATTCAGAAGAAGAAAGGATCACTCTAGAAAGATTCTGAAAATCTTAAAATTTTAAGGTATCCCAGAATGGTAATTTGAAAAATGTGAATTTACTTTCCTTAGTAACATCTACTAGGCACTTGGATTTCTTCCTGTCTAAGGAATAAGTAAGTATAATTCTTACTAGAGTAGAGAAATACATAGTGATAATGCTACCCATTAAGGCCAGATAGATACAATCTGTTCTTTACCTGACCAAGTAACAAATGCACATAATTTTGCTTCTGAAGTGGAAAGATCTGAAACACCAGTAGCAAAAGTAATTTTCTTCTGTTGCTGAATCTTGTGAATCCATTTACAGAACTGAGATAAGCAAATCTTCAGAGGGACCCCTTCATTAACTTGAGCCTGGAGAGAGTCAAAAAATCTGAATTCAACAGCAGACTTCTGTAACTACTGAGTACCCACTCAGCATGTAATCAGGCACTGTGGAGGGATACAACAAAGAAGGTCTAACTGCCAAGAGTTTATCTCATAAAAAGATGTTAAAACACAAGGAAAAAATATAAACATTAGTACTCCGAAAGTTAAGAATAATTAAATTGAGTAATCTGAAATCACAGAGAATAATTGCATCCAGGACGACAGACATTTGGTGTCACTTAATTTTCATAAAACAAATTAAATATTTATTTTTACAACATTATTCTAATTTTTAGAGACTCCAATGGACTTCTGGAGAGGACAGTATTTCTCTTAATACTGAATAAGTCTAATTCCAAATGGTATATAGATTTTCTTTTTGAAACTGATTTTTGAATTTTAACAGTTTTCATCATACCTGTTTGATTCCTGTCAGTTCCACACAAAATTCAGAAAGAATGGGATGTTCCTGAGGCTGAACATAAGCATGGAACTCAGATTCAATTTCTCCAGTTGATGTGTTCAGCAATACTGCAGGAAACTCAACTAAATGAAAGAATCATCAATTGACACTTTAACATACAACTGCCAAAGCAATGCTGTAATCACTCTAAACTTGTTACCACATTGTACAACATTATTAAACAATCATTGTTTCAGTAAAAGTCTATTAAAATAAGCAATCAGTGTGATGTATAATCAATTTAGGCCAAAGAATTAAATGCTAAGGTTGAGTATACCTATGTAAAAGAAAACTTTTGATTATATTTCCAGAATTAAATATGGAGACTATCTGTAAGTTGAAATACACTCCTTTCTGCAAAGGTATTTTTTTATTTCAGTTTCTATACAGTTGAAATTTTATGTACTGCTAAAGCAATTACATGATGACACATTTAGGTTTTTAGGCTTTTGTTGTCAAGTCTGATTTTATAGTAAACCTCCAAGTCACAGATCAACTTGTTTTCTTATATAAACTGTTGATTAGTTTTTTCCTGTAAACATTAAAGCCACTCATCTGTGCTAGCGCTGGCACTGGCAGTCACACTTACTTATTTCCTGGCTACGGTGGCGTTGCCCATCATTCCAGCACGTGGACTCAAAATCAATGACAATTAAGTAGTCAAACAACTGCTCTGCAAAAGAACAGAGTGCTGTAAGTTTACCAGTTTTAAAAAGTTCAGGTTACAAAATGTAATGAAACTTAAACACACTACTTACTGGATTTACTTCTCTCAAGGCTTCCATTTGCAGGTGCAATTGACTTTCTCCTAATTAATCCAAGCTGCCTAAAAATGTAAAATCATCCAATATGTTCAACAAACTCATTCACGCATTTGTTCTGAATAAGCTGACAAACTAACAGTATAACCCTTATTATTAATGTAATAACGTACTCTGATTGTGAGAAAATGATGGAATTAGACCGGGAGGGCAAAAGACTGCCCTGTCCACTTTAGAAGTCATTCTACCCGCAGGGATGGAACAGCACCTCTCTGCAAACTTAGGCTAATTCTTTCCCGTCACTTTCCAGTAATGCTGAGGAACTCAAGTGATTGTAAAGATACATCGAATAAATTGTTTCTATCTTTGCCTTTTCCAAGCCCTTGCTGTAAGGTACACACAGCACAGTTCTGAAGAGGTATAACAACATAGGGCAGGTCTAGGCTTCCGGGAGCTTTAAGATACCCGGGCAAAGAAACTAGACATCCATGGCAAACTACGGTCAGGGAAATACATGGTGAGTTATTCCTAGAAACGACAGCTACGGAGTCCACAGAAAGGGATGAGCTTGCTGAGGCCTTAAGTGCAGGTGCGACAAACTACTCTGAAGGCCAGGTAGGCAGACCCGGCCCTGCTGTCATTTTTTTAAGAGGTGTGGTAGTACCCACCACTTATATAAGGCAATGCTATTTCAGCAAATTAAAAAAAAAAGGGGGTTGTGATAGGAAATGAGGGGGGTTGGGAATAACAGCTAACAACACAGCAGGTATTAAACTCAGACGGCGATTTCACTTAAAGCTCAACACCTGTCAGAGGTAGACGCTTCTGCTCCTTGTGTTTAATGCAAGAGAAAACGGACTGGGTCCTCTGCCTGAGAGCACAGACGTGGTCTGTGGGGCGAGCATGTCCCCCCGCCCCCCGGAGCCCGGCTGGTCACTCCCGCACGACCCGGCTTCCAGAAAACGCCAACGTGCCCGGGCCGCAAGGAGAAGACAACCAGGATAGAGGAGAGTTGGGTGCGGGTGGGTGTGGGGGGTCGGAGGGGTGCTGCCCGGGCCGTCCGGGCGGTCCGCGGGCGCCATCTCGTCCCCGCACCTCCCCAGGTCTCGCTACAAAGGGGGGCTCCGGAGCGGGGTGCCCCTGGGCAGAGGCCGCCGGCCGCGGCCCGAGACGCAGGCGGGGACGCCGGGGCCGCTGAGGGGAGGTCGAGGCCGCCGACGCCAGCGCCCCCGCAGGGGCGCCCCCCGCCCGGAGCCCCGCGTACCGCGCCAGCCTCTTGGTCGCCATCACCCCGCGCGGCCCGCGCCGCAGCCGGAAGCCGCCCGGCGCCACTTCCGGTCTGTTCTGGCGCCGCGGCCGGGGGCTGCGACCGCCGCGTCCCGCGCCCGCCGCCCGGCGCTTTCCCGCGTGCTCGGGGCTCGGGCTCGGGGCTCGGCGTGGGGCGCAGGGGTCTGGGGCGCGGACGCCTCTGGGCGGCCTCCTCGGCCCTCGTGGCCCGCGGGGGGCGCGTTGGCCGTTGGGGAGCCGTTTCGAATTCTGCCTCCGGCGCGGACGGTAAAACCGTTTGGCCGGGCGGCGCGGGTTTCGGGGCTCGGATCGGGGGAGGCGCGGGCACCCCAGCTTGGGGCGGGCGGACGGCTCCGCAGCGGAATCCAGGAGCGGGCCGGGGGGGTTCTAGGCCGCCGGAGCCCCTGCCGCCCGCCTCAGGGTTCCGCCGGGTTGGGGAATCGGGGCGTCGGGGTTCCTCGGTTTTAGTGAATCTTTCTCTGCAGCCTCATGGAGCCCGAGAGGGAAAGGCCCCGCAGTCACCCCAAGAAGGGCAGGAAGAGGAGGCGGGGCCCCGACCAGGGGGCCGGGGCGGGCGAGGCGCTGAGAACCCGCGGAGACCCGGAGAGGCCGCCCGAGGCCAAGGTGAGCGGCGCGGGGCTCCCAGCGCCTTCCCGGGCCCTGTGCCCCCCGAAGCGCGTCAGGCGCTCGCACCCGCCGGCCCGCCGGCCCCCACTTCTGATCTGTGATGTGGGGCATGATGCCACCTGCCGCCGGGCTAATATTGGCGACTTAAAACGGGTGTGGAGCGCTTCATACCAGAAGCATGTTCATGCCACAGATATTTGTGGAGCCTTTCTGTGCGCCGGGATCTGGAGATCCCCAAACCCGAAATTCCCTGCCCTCCTGCAATGTATATTCCAGAAGGGGGATAATATGGCCGGTGAGCATCCCTACCACAGCTTGAGAAGGAAACATGCTTCATTCATCCTTCCAGTAATCAGATTTTTATTGCCTGCTGGGCACTGTCCTAGGCACTTGGAGTGCATCTGAGAAAGAGAGAACACGGCCATAATTGGACTTATGTTCTAGTGCAGAAAGACAGAAAATAAAGAATAGATTCAATCAGTTATACAGTGTGTTAGAAGCTTTAATGCTATGAGCCTTTTTGAATTAAAATAGGATTCCTTTTTTATTTTCCTACCAGGTTGGCAAAAACACTTTTAAAAAGATTAATGGGCAAGAAATGTAAGGAAATTGACAATCTCATCATTTCTTATTTTGAAATCATCTCAAAGTTACAGAAAAGTTGCAAGAAAGTACCCAAATCCAACCTCCACCGATATTTGGATGTGACTACCCAGTGTTCCATCACTCCCGGCCTCTCCATAGTGTAGTGTATTCCCAATAAGCAGTCCTGCTTAGCCACAATGCAAGTGTCACTGGACAAGAGAGAGGACCCAGAGGTCCCATCTCACCCTCCAACAACAACCTGGAGCAGGTCAGCCTCTGTCCGTTGCTGTACATGGTAGGGCTCAGAGGACCAGGAAACCCACCTCCCTCAAGCCAGTGGAAGAGGGAGCTTTGGATCCCACTGCTGTCATTTCATACCTCCACTGCTCTGCAACGTGCCATTTTGGCTCCAGCCAAATTAAACTACATGTTTAGATATGTTCCCTCTTACCTAGACTACTCATTCTTTTTAGCCCCTGTAGTTTCAACATAAGGTATCACCAAAACCTTAACCCAATGGCTCTTTAGCCTCTTTGCTCTACCCTTTAAAATAGTAGTTTGTATTGGGATTATCTGTTTCTGCACTTTCCCCCCTAATAAAAAGGACTCTGAGAACATGAATAACGTTTTATTTTCATTCTGCTATCCCCAGCACATAACCAAGATTCTGAGGTTCTATGTCAATGTTTATTAAATATTTTAGTATCAGATTATTTTAGACATTCATTTCCAATTAATTAGAACCTTTATGTCTTGATATGTGCTAAAAATAGAAACTAGAGTATTTTAATAATTTGCACTTGTTACTGTTCTCAATAATTATGATTTGTTATATCCTGATTTATCTTTGCAGAAAGCCCGCTTATCAGCCAATTTATTTGCTGAAAACTGTGAAGTAACCCACAGCCAGCTATGTGAATTGCTGGCATATGCAGTTTTGGGTAAATCCACTGTTCCTAAACCCAGGTATGGGGTGAGCTTAAAGCATCCTTTGCTTTATTGACTTAAATGTTTCAAATTGGTGTCTAGAATAATATCTTCCTTAACATTTTGTTTGCCAACAAAATGTCATAAAATTTTTTTAACAGTATTTTAATTTGGTGTTTCCTGTATAAAAATCCAGATTCTGCTTTCAAAAACTATAAGAGCTGACAACTCCCTGTATTTTCACATTGTAATAATTTTTCAAAGCTGAATAATAGCTTCCCACTTTCGATGGGGCATATACACTTGAAGGTCACACCTGGCCACTGCATTTACTTACAGTATCTTTCTGGCAGTATTTATCTTAGGTGTTTTGGTTTGTAGCTCCCAGTGGCTATCCAACTGAAATAACATGATTATATATCAAGGATCTTCCTTTTGCAAAAAGCAACAATAATAGCACTGTTCTGCTATCTCAATGCCACTATTAAATGTGTAGTGAAAATTGCTTTTGTATATAGGCCGATAGGTTTTCTAATGCATGCATCCCTGGGGAAGGTTGGCTAGGCACCTTAAAAGCATCTTCTGCATTAACAATAATTGTACTATTCTGCTATCTCAATGCCACTATTAAATGTGTAGTGAAAATTGCTTTTGTATGTATACCAATAGGTTTTCAAACGCATGCATCCCTGGGGAAGGTTGGCTAGACACCATAAAAGCATATTCTGTATTAACAAATATTGCCATTTATCTGTCATCTTATCTAAAACTGACTTTCTTGAAGCTGGCCATATAATGACTGGCTTAGGAAGGCCTGCAGAGCAGGTTAGGATCTTGAGATGTGTAAAGGTGAACTTTGTTTTGATTTGGATTTTAGATTTGAATGCATTTTGTTTCTCTTAGTATTTTGCTTGATTTGAGTGCCATAAATAATTTACTCATGAGATCTTTACTTGAATTCCGTGTAGTAATAGCTATTCACTGTTATTCAGTGAGCAATGATAAACTCCATTAACTGTTGCTCACTGCTTTTTTGTCACACTTCCCTTCTGTGTGTCTGTAACTGATTTGAGGCTATGTGTTGATTTGACTTTTCAACAGCTGGTGCCAGCTTTTTCACCAGAACCAACTAAACAACGTGGTGGTTTTTGTACTACAGGGAATGAGTCAGCTACACTTTTACAGGTTCTATTTGGAGTTTGGATTTCTCCGGAAAGCTTTCAAACATGTAAGTTAAGAAAACTTTGTTTTAGGGCCTGAGTCAGGTCCTTGCATCCAGAGAATAGGGCATGTGTCACAGAAAATAGATTCTTTGACACCTGTCTGAGCGAGCCAGTAGGGTTACAGAAAAGCAAAAAGGTTCAGAGACGCCAGTTGAGAATAGATTTGTGCTTTTCTTTGGTAATCTGGGCAAAACACCACTCCTTCCATTGCAGCAGCAGTCGGATTGATGATGTCATGTGTATTTAGACTATAGGGTTTCAAAAATTCATAAGATTTACATTTATATTTCAGCTCCTCCCTCAACAGCATCACAGGATCAGGTGCCCTTAGACTAGTACCTGGAGCTGAAACACAGACACCATCTTTAGTAGTGGCACATGTTCTCCATTTCCCATAGCCTCCTCCATTCCCTACTGCACTGTTTCATCCATTTCCCCTGAGAGCATTTGAGTAGGTGAGCTCTAACTTAATCTTCTTGGCTCTCCATTTTCATTTTGTGCCTTATTTATTGAGCACTACCTGTGTACTAACTTCTACATTAATAAGTTTACATGCATCATCATTAATTTGCTATCAGGAAACTGAGTAACTTGTCTAAGTTACAGCTAGTAAGTGACAGTGGAATTTAAGCCCAGGTGAGCCTAAGACTGGAACTGGAAACTTCTTTGCTGCATCATCTGTCACTGCCTGGCATACTGTCCACCCTTGCAAAGATATGGAAGTACTTTGAAAAGTATAACAATTTCCTTATTCTAAGCTATACCTTTGGATAATATTTTGTCTCTTCTATAATATGTATTCAGAGAGGCAAAGAAAATTTCCAGAGTGGGATAAATGTGTCCATTACTAGTCACTTTGACGCATGAAGGAAATAGCTCTTATTTTACAGTGCGAACAGTTAAGGTCCAGACCTTCATAGCACTGAGCTGATGATAAAAGTCCAGGTCTTTTATGTTCTCAAGATTTAAAAAAAAACAACTTGTTTTGTATTTTCAGAAATTTCTCTTGCCTCCTCCAACATCCACTTTCCTAGCCGATATCATCGGACTGCAAAACAATCAAACAACTGGGGTTCTGTCTAAGACGATGGAAGGTATGCCTGTGACTCTAAAAGATTATGGATATGCTTGCAAGTAGGTTTGTCAATCAAGTTTATTCTTGCAAGCAGCTCTTTAACAAAAAAGTTAAAAAAAAAATTTCTTTAAGGAAAATTAGGTTAAGTACTCAGGATGATTAGGCCGCGGTACTCACAGCCAGGGCACATGCCTCAGAAGCCATCTGGCTCGATTAGATAGCTAAAGCTCCTGGACTGGGCCTCCCCAGCAGGTTGAGCGCAATGCTATGAAGCTGTACGCAGCCTCTGCAGCGTGGGTTAGATTCCCGGCTGGCCAGGGAGATTCCCACATGGCGCAGCAAACCTCTCCTGTCTCGCCCTCTGCTTCCCTCAGCAGTGTATTTCGGTCCTTCTGCCTGTTCTGCTCCCTGCTCTGTCTCTGGTGAATTCTCTCATCCTCCCGCGCCTTTGGCCTGTACCCCAGTGTTTGTTTTTTTTTTTGTTTTGTTTTGTTTTAATTTTTTTTTTAAAGATTTATTTATTTGTTTGTTTGTTTATACAAGCACTGGGTACAGTCAGAAGTGCGGGAGGGTGAGAGAATTCACCAGAGCCAGAGCAGGGAGCAGAGCAGGCAGAAGGACCGAAGTACACTGCTGAGGGGAGCAGCGGGCGGCAGGAGAGGTCTGCGCGCCATGTGGGACCCTCCTCCGGTGGCCGGGGATCAGCCGGGGATTGAACCGGCGCCGCAGAGGCTGCGGGCAGCTTCGCAACCCAGCGCTCAACCGCTGCGCCACCGGGGAGGCCCTGTACCCCAGTGTTTGTATAAATAAATAAATCTTAAAAAAATAAATAAAGCTCCTGGACGTCACTGACATCAGACATTCATAAATGTCTGTGAGGAAATCACTAGAGGAAATTTTAAACTGTCAGTGGGTCTTTGTGACCACAAGTGTATGGATGGGAAGAAAGATTTTTCTTTTGACTAATGTAAGGGACGCCCGCTAATAGTACTTACAGTGAGGAATAGGCAGGAGATTTGATTGGCACCAACTAAAATAAATTACATGACAGCACTGGCGGAGGGAGGGGAGATGATGGAATAAGATGAAACATCAGTTCATGGCAGGTAGTAAGGTAAATATTGTTCATTGTTGCCTTTTTGTGTCGAGAAATAAATGAGTAGCTGCGCTGAGGGGACATGAAAAGGAATGACCAGTGATTCCTTCCCATGTCTTCCAGCACTGTGCTTCCCGTTTCCTGTCTCAGAAGCGTCTACCTTCCTACCTTTCCATTGTTCCTTTCTTCCCTGCCCATATTTAGTGTGTAATTGTGTTTGATTTGACCTACACTGTATTTTAAATATCTTTGGGTAAATCACAGTAGTCCTGAGATTCAAAGCTTGTGTAAAGACATTCCACTATGAAAAAAGAATAATGAGGAAAAGGAAATTTGATATGACTGAAGAATGTAGGTTGTTGGAGACGATCTGGGGGTGGGGTTGGACTGAGAGGACTCTGAGTAGTGAGAACCAAGACTAAGAGCTTGGTTAAGGATATGTCCTCCAGACTGGAAGTGCCATGCTGAGGACTTTGGGAATTACTTCTCTTGGCTCCCCAAACCAAACCTGCGTAGCTCAGTCCTTAGCTCCTGTGAATCTCTATTCAGATGTCACTTTAGCAGAAAGACCTTCCCTGATCACCTTATAAATATTCAGTAAATATTTTGTTGACTAAACTGAATTACTCTGTCACTGTGCTTTGCTAGTTCTTCTTCTGTAGTGTTTTTTTCAACCTATCCCTTTTCCTTGATCCCTTCCACCATCTTAATCCAGACACATTTTCTTGTTTCTCTAATCCATTTTCCATATATCTTTGAGATTGATGTGTCTCAAAATCCTGTTTATGTTACTTCCCTCCCGAGGAACTTGCTGTTCCTCCCCAGTATATAGTGAATGTGGGACTACTCTTGATCCTGGCATTTAGAATGATCTACAGTTCAATTTTATTCTCTTCTCTCTACTTGTTTCCCACATTGCTCTCCTAAACAGACATTTTTCCTCCTTACCTGATCTAGTCACTGCCATATCAAGTTTTCTTTGTATATTTCTGTTTTACCCAGAGTACCTTCTTTTCTACTTCAGAAACCTTGGCTCTTGGTTGCAAGTACCAGATACTCATTCAGGCCACCTTAAACAAGCGGATATTTGAAGGATGCATGTAGACTAGAAAGCCATCAAGAATCTAAGCACCTCTAGAGAAGAGCTGTTCTCCATCCCTTTCATGGCACCTTCTCTGTGTGTTTTCAGTCCTCTTCTTACTGGTCAGTCCTCTATATTTTCAGGTTCAAATTCTGGAAGTACGCAATCTGATCAACTTAGCAATCACCATTGTCCCTTTTGAGCATGCCTTGACAAGGAATATCAATCACTGGTCAGCTTATAGATCAGTCTGTCATGAACCAGATCCCCAAACTTAATCCAACCCGTGACCACCTCTGCTTAAAGAATAGGCTGCTCTTGAGTGGGTGGCTGGAGTGGAGTAGGTTTGGCTAGGATGGGCTGTTAGAAGTGGTAGGCACTGTAGTGGACAGGTCTAATACATGATCTTAATTAGTGTATTTTTTTTCTTCCTTTTCTATACATAGCTTTTATTTTTATAACCCAGTTGGGGCTTATTTTCTCTGTTTTCCTATAATTAGAACATAAGCTCCTTAAAAGTTGGGCCTAGGTCTTACACATCTTTTGATCTTCATTAAGTCTCTTCATTAAGAGACTTGTCCTCTGATGTGAGAACAAACATCTCTTAAGCACGTACACTAAATACATTCAATCATCCTTATTTCAGGTTCTCTACCTTCTGCCAGCTCAAAAGTCAGCATCAACCTGCAGAATGACCCCATCCTTAAAAAGTATGGCTCGAAAAAAATGGGCTTGACCAGGTGCCTTCTCACAAAGGAGGAAATGAAAACATTTCACTTTCCATTACAAGGTTTGTTTAGATTTACTCTAATGTTGATAATAATGAAAGGGAACCTGACAGTTTATTTAAAAGTAATATTGTTGAAAGTTCACTTTTGGGGTGTGCTTTCTAAATGATTCATTCCATCTTCTGTTGATGAGGAAATATTTTAAGTGCAGTGTTTCCTAAAGTATGGGATTTGTACCATGATTGGTAAGTGATGGTTTTTTGGTAGTATCTGAACATGACCTTAAATAGTATGGAAATACTTGGTGAGATAGTTAATCTTTTTTCAGTTTTCTTTCATTTCTCTTTAGTAAGTCAGCAAGTGGAAATTGCATTTTTTCCTGGATGAATCTAAAAGTAATGTTTACCATCTCTAGTTTTAAAAGCATATATTTTATTCCTTTTCCTCCTAGGTTTTCCTGACTGTGAAAACTTTTTACCTACCAAATGTGATAGTTCTGTAACAGACAACAGTCCTCTCTTTGGACTTGACTGTGAAATGGTAGGTACTATTGACTTTTCAAATCTTTGTACATTACTAGCGGTTTGCTACTCCTGTCTTTTGAACCAATGTTGGCTTGTTTCTGTTGCCTTGAAAACTGCCTCAGTTTCCATCCTTTCAGCTAAGTTTCATATATTTATAGTCAGAAGTAGGGTTTCTCCACTTAAGTTCCACTTGTGTTACTTTTTCAGAGGTGGTGAATACTCAGTGCATGTTCACTTCATACTCAGTTTTTCAATTCTTAACAGACTGGCTAAAAGCAGTGTGTATAATCTGACTTCATACTCAGTTTTTCAATTCTTAACAGAATTGAAAATTGTAATCTGACCTCACCTGTTAATGGCTGTATCACCATGGATAAATTCCCTAATCTCTTTCAGCCCAGCTTCTCCCTATTATAGAGGGGCCTCAATAGTAGGGTTGTTCTGAGGTGGTATATATAAAATGCTTAGTACAGCATTAGATGCTACAGTGTACTTATAAAATACTTAGCAGTGGTACTCAGCATAATGTGGGGATATAGCACACACTCAATAAAAGGTACAATGTGTTTGATGGTATTTGCATTCATCTTCTTGAGCACATCCCTTCCCAGAGAAATTGTATTGTGTTGATTCCTTAACTATAATGTTTAATAGTATGCCTCGCTTTAATTTTATTCATGCTGGGTCTGCTAATCCACAAAAGCTTATGCCATAGTCATAGGAACCCCCCAGTAGATTAGGGGCAGTGGCAGTTGATGTGTTCTGAATAAGGAGAGGAAGCTTCCACACTTCAGCAGCCTGACTATGTCCTGGTCTTTCAGTGCCTCACATCCAAGGGGAGAGAACTAACACGCATCTCGCTGGTTGCTGAAGGGGGCTCTTGCATCATGGATGAACTCGTTAAACCTGACAACAAAATCCTGGACTACCTCACCAGGTAATTTTCTTCCTCTGCCTGCTCTTCCTAGAGCTATCTCACTAGAGTGGAATGAGACTTAATGGGAATAGCCTATGGCTTCTATTTAGTCAGGTATTACCCAAGAAAAGGTTAGGGTATTGCAACTATAATTTTTTGATATTGAAATTGTCAGTAGAATATTACTTTCCTTGTCATAGACTCCCCATAACTCCATAAACTCTCCAGACTTTATAATCATTGTCTAGCAACTGCCAAACAACTAGAACTTTGCTTTTTGATAAGACCTCATCTGAAAAACCTGCAAATCTTCATTTAACAGTCAAATGACCCAAGAGCTTAATCTGCCATGACCCTAAAAACCAAAACAAAACTTAAGTTTTTCCATAACAAAAATTTGCAGCTCAAAATTTCAGTCTTAGCATGTGATTTCAGAATGTACACACAATAGGGATTAGGCATAAAGAGAAGATAGTGAAACATTACGGCATACCTTGGAGATATTGCAGGTTCAGTGCCAGACCACTGCAAGAAAGCAAATCACATGAATTTTTTGGTTTCAAGCATGTATAAAAATTATATTTACACTATCCTACAGCCTATTGAGTGTGCAAAGCATTGTGTATAATAAATGTACATACCCTAGTTTTAAAATACTTTATTACTAAAAAAACTAACCATTGTCTCTGAGCCTTCAGCAAGTCATAGTCTTTGATGGTGGAGGATCTTATTAAAAACATATGGTACCTGCATAGCACAATAAAACAAAGTGTGCCTCTGCTGTTTCTGCCCATTACCTTTGTACCCATAGGTTCATACTTACTTAGATACACTTAGACTTACCGCCGTGCTAGATTGTTCTGTTAGCAGATATATCAGACGGTAATCTTTTTTTTTCTATACTGAGCATATATTAGTTTTTTTAAGTAATTTTTTTTGAAATGACTTTCCAGGAAGGAAAACTTGTTTATGTCCTGACCTGTCCACTTCTCTTTTTTTATTGAAAGCTTCTCAGGAATCACGAAGAAGATTCTTAACCCAGTTACAACCAAACTCAAAGATGTACAGAGACAGCTAAAGACATTGCTTCCTCCCGATGCGGTATTAGTGGGTCACTCCCTAGACTTGGATCTGAGAGCACTGAAGGTGAGTATCAGATTTAGGACTTAGCTTTTATAGGAACAAATGCTTGTTCCATTTATCTTAGATTAAAGCCTTGGGCTCTTCTATCCCTCAGCCCATGTGTTTTTTCCTTTAGCCTAAGTCGCTACTCATTGTATTCTCTTTCCTCCTCAGATGATACATCCATATGTTATTGACACATCATTGCTTTATGTCAGAGAGCAGGGCAGAAGATTTAAGCTAAAGTTCTTAGCCAAAGCTATTTTGGGGTAGGTTTTTTGCATATTATAATATCATCCTGACAAATTACATATAAATCAGCATATCGTATGTAATGCATATTGCAGAATTTGGGGTCTCTGCTCTCCCTCTTAGTTTATAAACAGTATTCCTTTTTTTATGAACCCTGCAGTTCTAACTCCAGAGAGAAATATGACTCAGAAATAAATCATGGGAATACAAAAAGCGTTTTTTACATTTGCAATTGAGAGCTGATGAATAGAACTGGGCAGAGAGGGGCAGAAAAGTTAACCAAAATTTGAAAACAAAGCATCCCCATGTTGAACGTGTCCTATTATGTATTTATAAACTCAGAAGTACAAAGATATGCATTATAACATGGTCTAAAATAGCCTACAAAGAACTGCAGTCTTCTGCAGGACTGCTTAGTTATATGTATTATTGAAACTTTATTGTTTTTGTTCAAAAGTATATGCTAAATCTGTATGTGCTAACAAGGAAATCTCTCTAAGATACTATTGAGAATAGAATGGAGAAGCCAAACAAGATCTACATATAGCTATGATATAGATTAGATTTAGTTATATCTAAACATACTTGTGATTTAAGGTTTTTAAAAATCAACCAAGAAAGAACTTAAGCGCATATAGACACTGTATACAAATAGAAAATTTCTGAAAGATAACTTTAAATACTTGTTACATTTAAGAAATGAGACACGGACTGGCCAGGGTGGGTCAGAGATAAGACTTTTTTATTGGGTAGTTTTTTTTTATCCAGATGATATGTTTGTTGTGGACAAAACCATATCTGATTGTTCTTTATCCTCAGTACCTCTCATGTTTTGGCACTTATCAGGAACACAAGAGACTTAATTGTTAATGATGCAGCTCTGATTATCAGAATGGTGTGTACATGTAACCAGAATATTTGAAGTTGTTGAAAGAATCTATCATTTAAATGTTCCTAGGGATGTCAGTTGTATCTTGACTTTTTCTAGGAAGGATATTCAGTGTCCAGACAAGCTTGGCCACGATGCCACAGAAGATGCTAGAACAGCCCTTGAGTTGGCTCGATATTTCCTTAAGCATGGTCCAAAGAAGGTTGGTGTCTTTGATCTTTGTGTTTGCTTTTCTTAAAATTATGGGACTAGACCACATAGATAGTCATAGACTACCATGACACGTCTCCCTATCTTCACAAAAATAGGAGTGTGATTCAAAGTGAGCATGTTTCAAGAATTAAGACCTATACCGCTAGCATAATATAGTGGTTAAGTATAACGTTTTTGATCTGTTTGCAACATAGACACTGCTATGTCTATGTGATTTAGGGTATTTAGTTTCTAGATCTGTAAAATGGAAATAAACACTTCTCTGGAATGTTGGGAGAGGTAAATGAGATACTACGGATACGACTCTTAGCACTGTGCCTTGAATAATTTAAGCACTATATTGTGATGTTGGTGATGGGAGCTGGTGCTAATAATTGTGAAAATCTACATAGATTTTTGCTCTCTTGGAATGAGAGGAGCATACATTATTTCAGCTGCAGTTCAGTGGGCAGAGATCTAAAGTAATTCTAAATAAAAAGTTTTTATTTCACTCTTTATCTCACAACTTCCCAAGTAGTCTCCAACTTTATGGAAGAATACACTAGAATAGCCTTCTCATGATTTTGTATTAAACAAGTAAAAAGCCTTTTTTATGTTGTCATACAGGCCACACTTTTATTATTTTCAAAAGTTGCATGTGCAGAGAAGTATATTTAAGCAACTATGGAATGAATGTTAAGTGAAAATTGCCTCCCTTTTCACTTAGTCCTACTTGGCCCTTTTCCATAGTCATGTAACAACATAAGCAGCTGGTAACAGATTGCATTCTTGGCTGAGCAGCCAGAAACCATCTGGTAACTACTGAAGCTAGTCCAGGGCTGTGGCAATGGCAAAGTCACTGTCTCCAAAAGCAGAGAATACCTTTCGAGTAGATTTTTTTGTTGTTGTTGTTTGGGTGAGTTTTTTTGTTTAATCTTAAATGCTTTCCAAGAGATTAGATTTTTACCACTGTATTTTCAAGATCGCAGAATTAAATCTGGAGGCACTCGCAAGTCACCACGAACTGCAAACAGCAGGCCAAGAGCCAAGAAATACAACAGTAGTTCAGCAGGCAAACACAAGGTAATGGTCTTCAGTTTTAAATAATAGCAAAGACAAATGGAGTATCTGGTTTCTTATTTAGCAAGACAATCTGGGGAGTTTTTTTTCCTCTTGAGTCTATTGAGAAATGTTTACCAATAGTGTGGACAATATTCTATCTCAAAAACCACAAAGGGGAAAAATAACACCCTTTGCCCTAAGTGGTATCTCTTTTTGTAAATCTAAGGACTGGTCTAAAATGACTTCCTTTATGAAAAAAATATATTGAACTAAGCAGTAGGAGAGATAATAGGCTAGTGAGTATTTTGATTAGAAAAGTGTCTATAACCTTGATATGTTGTCCAGATTGGGGAAAAAAGGAAAAACAGGCTCAAAAGGGTATATCTCTGCACCTAAATGTATCAGATCCTTAGAATTTGGCTTAAACTTTGATAGAGAACTTTGAGTATATTTCTTGTTTTTCTTTCCTCTCCCGAAATATAGAGCAGTGCTGTCCGTTATTATTTTCTGCAATGGCGGAAATCGGTACCTCTGCTGGCCAGTAAATCCACATAGTATATAACATGAGTAACCAGTACAATTAAGGGATTTAATTTTAAATTTTAATTAGTTTTAATTCAAATAGCCACATGTTGGTGGTGGTTACCATATTAGTAGAAATGCAGAGAAATAATTTTCAAGTAATGGGAAACCTTGTTTTTACCTTGATCTCTTCTACTTCTTCACAGTGTTTTAGAATGCTTAGACTCGATGGGTCAGAAGCTCCTTTTCTTGACCCGGGAGACAGATTCTAGTGAACTTTCTTCTGCCAGAAGCTGTCAAACTATTAAGTGTCTTTCAAATAAAGAGGTGAGTGAGTGCTGTCTCTCTGAGGGTTGCATTCAGGGCAGAGGGGACATGCAGGCCTTTGCACTCCATGCAAGTGTCCGGTTTCTCCCGGCTGCTGTCCTGGCTGCCGTTATTGGCAAGTCTGGCTTCCATCTCACATTTTTCATGGAGCACTTGGTCTTTATCCCCCACCTAAGCAGAACTGTCAGCTGCCCGTGTCTGACTCCAGTGTCCAGCAGGCTGTGGTTTGGGTTTTGCATACCACTTTGAATTTCTTTTCTGTTTTGGTTCATGGAAATGTTTATCTCAATTTTAAGCCTGAACGCATTTTATGGGTTTTTTTCTCTTATATTTTCTCTATCATTACTGTATGTGTAAAGCAGAAGGGATGTATCAAAGCATAAACTTAAATCATCAAGATTTGTATTGCTTTTTATCTTTTAATATTTTACTTGTAAATAATTGCAAATTTAAAGGAAACTTGCAGAGGATAGTAGAAAGCCTATAACACCTGGGTCCACATTCGTCTTCTGTTAATAGTCTGTCCCGGGGGGGAGGTACTTGCTCCTACTTTTCCTCTCTACATGACATTGTGTTTTCTAAACCATTTGTTTTTTGGTTTACATTTAATCTCTTGGTGTCTTTATAATTTATAGTGGGTTTCTTGTAGTCAGCAGTTAGTTTTGCTTGTTTACCTAATCTGACAATCTTTGCCTTTTAAATGGGGTACTTGGGCATTTTGCATTTAATATGATTGTTGATAATAGGTTTAAATTTATCTTGCTATTTTCTAATTTTCCCATCCGTTTTTCCCTCTTTCCTTTTTATCTTCCTTTTGAATTCATAGAGTATTTTTTATGACCTATTTTATCTCTTTTGGCACTGTATTAGCTATAACTCTTTGTTATGTTATTTTAGTAGTTGCTTAGGGACTTGCAGTGTACATGTTACCGTGTACATCTTTAGCTTATCACATAAAAAAACAACCACCTCTTCCATCTTTATGACCTGGCATTGTGCAAAGGAAGACTTTCACCAGTCAGCCCAGCTAGAAGTTTCTAGACCTTCTCAAACCTATTTTGAAGATATATCTTTCTGAGCTTGTGTGTGTGCTTTCAGTTGTCTCAGATCTCCTGAGCACCCTGACCCTGTTTCTTCTCAGAACCTGTAACCTACTGTTCCTTCTGATACCTGCCTGGGGAACTGCAGCCCTGACAAGGAGATTGCGTCTATTTTAATGGCTTTCCAGCAAGGTTGCCAGTCCTATGAGTGCTCCGAGTCAGACGAGACTTAAAGTGCCGTTTATGGTGTTTATAATGCTGTTGGGAAGGGATGGCGCTTGTCTTACTTGTTTTTCTCCAGTATCCTTCATTGCTCCCACCCTTATTTCCTTCTTTCCCGTCACTGCAATGTCTCCAGAGGCAGCTACTTCTCCTCTAAGGGTTGGATTCATTCCCAGAGCACTGCTTCTCTGAGGTTATCAAGCCTCTTTCCTATAATCAGGTGTGTGAACTCTAGTCAAAGTCATGACCTGTATTCAATTTCTTGGCAATTAATTAGACTTCTTCTTGCTGGGAGTGACTGTTTTTGTTTCACCTGAATCTTCTGTGTCCCTTGACTTTTTTCCCCAGTCTTTGAAGCCTCCTATTCCTGCTCCTTCTCTCTGCTCACATGCTTGTCATGGTGTGTGACACTGGGAGCTTTATTGGAGTTACACATTTCTTAGAGATAATTTGAAGGTGAAGTAATTACTGTTTCTTAGTAATGGTAAAGGTATGATTTTTTTTTTAACTTATGTGATTTTTTTCGAGGAGGCTTTGTCATGGCACCATTTTTCTCCAGCCCTGGAATCAGCCCCATATTGCTGTCTATTTGGGGTAAAAGGACAGCCACTGTTTATATTAGTGTGCCTCATCTCCAGGAGACACAACGACCACTGGGTTCCTACCTCATCCCGACTCTTCCGTTCTCTGCAGGTTCTTGAGCAGGCCAGAGTGGAAATCCCTTTGTTCCCCTTCAGCATTGTCCAGTTCTCTTTTGAGCCCTTTCCACCGAACCTCACTGAGGAGATGAACAAAAGGGTAAGTAGATAAGTCCTGCTAAGTGATTTATTTAGTGACTTCTTATGTCCTCTTCCCACTTAAGGAAAAGTAAAGCATAAGGAAAAATAAAGCGTAAAGTTTGCTCTATGTTTCTCTAGATTTTTTCTTTGTATATATTAACATTTTTAGAAAATACATTTTTTATAAAAGTGGGAATCAGACTGAATGTACTATTTTATGATTTTCATTTTAATAATATGCATTATACATCTTTTGATGTCACTATAAATCTTATATCTCATTTTAATGGCTGTATAGTATTCCATTCTATGATAGACCTATTATTTCAGCATATGTGCTGTTACAAATAATGCTGCAATGAAATCTGTTTACAAATCTTTGTATATTTGATAGTGTTTGTATTGAGAAGTTCCTTGAAGTGAAATTACTCCACGTTTTTACTCATGATTTCTTCAGATTTGACTTAATTCTCTTTGTCCCTCCACCTCCTACTTTTCTTATAGATGAGGATCAAGTGGGCAGAGATGTCAACTATCTATGCTGGGCCATTTAGTAAAAATTGCAACCTGAGAGCTCTGAAAAGGCTGTTTAAGAGTTTTGGTCCAGTTCGGTCAATGACGCTTGTTCTTGAAACCCATCAGGTAATGAGATAAGAAAATTCAGATTTTGATCTTATAAATTTATGTTTGAAATCCAGATGCCTAATGGGGCTCTTCAAATAACAGTGACATGAGCTTGATTGTCACCAACTAGAGTGTGAGCTATGCTTTGTCTAATGGGAGCAGTTGTTAACCCACAAGAATGCGTACCCAGTATTACTAGATCTTGATTTTTTGTTGTTATGAGAATTGAGAAATTTTCATTATATTGATTTCAATTTTCTTAAGTATAGCTAGACAAAAAATGGGTCTGTTGGTTGAAGGTGGCCTGTGGTCTTGCTGTTTGTGATCTCAGTTTGAAATGACGAAATCTCCTTTCAAAAAGCAGTAACTTCCACGTCTTGGGAAGTAGGCTCAAAACTGGGTTAAGAAACAGTAAGTTGTGTAGTATTTTGTTAGTCTTTCCCCCGTACTGCCCAGGGAGAGAGGGTTTTGATTTTAAATGACCAAGTTTATTATCTGAGAAACCAGTTCCTAAATTTTGGTGATTATTCTTTTAAAGTTGATGATCGCCATCACTGTCTAACCTGTCACAACAAGGCCTCCACCCTGGTGGCATTAGCCTCATCATAGCCTCTTTTCTTGCCATTTAAGCCTGAAAAGCAAAGGTAAGGAAGCCTTGGTTTTTCTGCAGCCACATCTCTGTATACAATATGAAGTCCTGGAAGCTGCCCAGCTGGCCATAGAGTCCTTGGACAACATTCTGGTAGAAGGCACCTGCATCAAGGTAGGATGCCCAGAGAAGGTATAATGTAGCACCCTGACTCAGCCCTGACCTAGTACAGCCTGTTTCACAGTATCCTAGCCATGACTTTTCTGTCGGGCAGACTTCAGCCAGTTCTGGCTTTCTCCTAGCATGACCTGACAACTTTTGTTTTTGTCAAAGTTTAGCCTAGGCTAGATTGTCATCTTCCTTCTACTCTTATAAATGGTAACTACTTATATTCCAAAAGGTTTATTCTGGATGTTTTTGTTTTGTTTTGTTTTGAAAGATTTATTTACTTATGTATAGAAGAACTGGGGTGCAGGCCAAAGGTACGGGGGTGAGAGGACTCACCAGAGTGAGGAGCAGAACAGGCAGACTGAATGAAATACACTGCTGAGGGGAGCAGTGGGCAAGACAGGAGAGGTCTGCTGAGCCATGTGGGTCAGCTCCCTGGTCAGGGAGCAAACTTAGACTGCAATGCTGAGACTTAACCCCTCTGGGAGGCCCTCTGGGTGTATTTTTGTGATTATCCTTGACTTTAACTTTCAGGGGGATTAAATGGTGATATTTTTGAAGTTTCTTATGCAAATAAACAATTTCTCTGGAGTGAAAGGCAGAAAACTGATATCCTTTGCCTGAGTAGTAGTTGGGGAGAATTAAAGAGAGGGTATGTTTACACAAATGCTTATATTTATGTATTTATTTACCTACTCTCTACCGTAGTTCTTTGTGCCTCCTTATACTCATGGAAACTGTAGTGAAGTTACTTGCTAGTGCATAACAGGCCTGGGAGTTGAAGTGGTGACTTTTTACCACTGATACTATCTTTTCCTTGGTTAGGTGCAGAGGCCAGTGACAGAGCTCACTCTTGATAGTAACACCCTCATCAATGAGCTGGAACGAGATTCTGAGAACCGAGGCACCATCTACCTGTCTGGAGTGACTGAAAACTTCAAAGAACGCCTGTTGCAGCACTCTACCCTCTTCCTTGGCCTGGAAGTTGTGATCTTGCCCAAAGATCTTAAAACTGGAAAGCAGAAAAAGTACTGTTTCCTTAGTAAGTGTATGCCACCAAATGTAGCCTTGGGAGGAGGAGTTGGGGATGATAATGTGAGGGCAAAGAAAGGAAATGTTCTCCAAGTCCGTCCTCCTGGACTGGATCATGCCAGCTGCTCTCAGTTCCATTCTTTTCCCTTGGCCCTGACTGGCTCCAGCATGGATGGATGGTAACCAGCTTTCCTGGCCCTTAATAACAGAGGGGGCTGGGGCGTGTGTATTCTTGCTTCCAGAATTCAAAACTTTGGGCAGTGCACAGAGGGCCCTGAACGTTCTCACTGGCAAGGACTGGAAACTGAAAGGCAGGCTTGCCCTCACCCCTAGGCATCTCCATGCCTGGCTCAGGGGCTTAACTCCGGAATCAAGGCCCCCGGGGCTTCGTGTGATACCCCCTCCTTCAGAGCAGGAGGCCTTGCAGGTGAGTGAGTGAGTGAGTGAGTGAGCGAGCGAGCGAGCGAGCGAGCGAGCGAGCATCTCAGGGTCCAGGGGGATGGTCGCTGCCTTGGTTTTACTGGCTCTGGGCTTCGGTCTTTTGGTGTTCATGGAAATTAGGAGACTCCTGCTCAGGTGATGTTTTAAGCCTTCAGTCTATTTTCTTTCTGCCCTGGCACTAGTCTTACTTCATTCTCCAGTTTCTTCTGGCCCTGCCCATGTCTTCAAGCTCTTATTCTGCCCCGCCCCCGGCCGCCAATACCTACAGAAACCAGGTTTCCTATCCTCTGTTGGCTTTCCAAGAGACTCTGGCGGCTGACATAGGAGGTTAGAGAGCTGGGGAGTCCTGAGTGATCTAGTCTTGGGTTTCGCAGAGTGGTACACACAGTGATTTCTGGTGGGCACAGATGTACTTTTTTTCACTATTACCACTATGAACTTGCTTTTTCTAAGACTCATTGATGTATTCAACAACCACATTGGACTTACAATTTCATGGACAGTATTAATTAGATGAGATTAAGGAAGAAATTGACTCACTTTAAAGAAAAACAACTTGGGGGAATACAAGCAGTGTCTGAGGTAGAGGTGAATGGTTGGAGTTGAAGAAGCCCTGACCTAATGTTCCACACTTAGCAGGTGGAAATAGAGGTGAGAGCTGGTGAATGAGTTGCCCAAGGCCACAGAGATACATAAGGGCAGAGAGCACACCAGAACTCTCACAAATGAGGTGGTTCCCTTAGTGTGGAGACCCTGGAATACCTGTCCGGAGGAAAGGACAGCAGCTATCCTCTTCAAGTGACTCAGAGACCTGGGGACTCTGGGGTGGATAGGAAACCCTCCAATAAGGGCTTCAGCTTCAGACAGAGGATTTAGTCAGAGCCTTTCCTGGGCTTCCCTGACCCGAGACCCTGAGGAAGGATGTTGCACCCCCTCCAGAGGTGAATGGAGGGTACTCTGGCTGAATGCCAGCACACATGTGGCTTTGATTCTAGACTCTGAAGGTGGACCACCCGAAGATAGCAGCCTGGCGCTGGGGCCGGAAGATAGGAAAGCTCTACCACAGCCTGGGCCCGGGCACCCTCTGCCTCATTCTGCTGCCAGGATCCAAAAGGTAAGGAAGGACTGAAGGGTTACGTTTTCCTGTTTCTGGCCACTGGACTTCAGCTGCTCTTGGAGAATGGCCTCTCGCTGACAACCAGGCACATAAATGAGGACTTAACATGAATCAGCTCTTAGTTTTCACAGTTCTGAGAGAGAGGTGTTATATTCCCATTTTACATTTGTGTGCTCTTCTATAATTACACTTGCTGGTCCCTCACAGTGATAGCGCATCCCAGGTTAAAGTCAGGCCTTGCAGCTTTTCTGGGACAAGAAAGCAGCTGCCTAAGCCCATTTGTGTAAAAAGGGTCAAGAAGCTCTAGGACAAGGTCCTGGCTTAGGTATGAGCAGGTCTAATCTCCCCACATGTCCCGAGTATGTTTATGGCCTCCCTGCCCTCTTCCCATCGACATCCGTGTTCACTTTGTGAGACAGGTCCTGTTTCCATCATTTACATGAGGAATGCTAGAGCGAGATTCTGGGTCCAGTTGTTACTCTGTCGCCTAGTGGCCTATCACCAATGGGTCTCCATTTCTCTTTGATAAAATGAGGGATTTGAAGAAATCAGTCATTTTCAAACACTTTTAACTGGTAAACCCTTTCTTTAAAATTCCTAAATCCTTTAAATCCTAAACCATTAAAGATGGGCAGTTCTGGAATGAGTGACTAGATGAGTGAATGAGTATATATATATATGGGGGTTTGGGGGGCAGTGACTTTTTGAGTACAGTTTGAAAATCACTGGATTATGTGATTTCCCTTAAATTTTTGACATTTCAGGATTCTTTCCCAGGTTCAAGGTCCCAGATGGCAAAACATGAATGCCTCAGGAGTTGAAGCCTGGATCAGAAATTAATTTCCTGTCATAAAATCCTTATAATTTGCATCTCAGGGCCACTAGTGAGGTGGGCTACCTGTTGGGCAGTTTGAGAACATGAGAACATCACGTGTTTGAAAAGAAAAGCATTTTAGACTGACACACTAATAGCAAGAGGTTAAAAGGTGGCCAGAAGTTGCTGAGAATGCTTTTGGTTTATGAGCAGAGACTCTGCGGGGCAAACAGACTTGCCCTGAGATAGGTCCTCAGAACTGGTAAGTAGCGGTGGGGCTAGAGCAGGGACTGGGTCTTCGTGTTCCGCTATGTAAGTCAGGGCAGCCAAAGCTTTCTCCTTCCAGAAGTGGTTGAGATGTATGTTCTACAAGGGGTGAGAGGTTGGGGTCAGGGAGCAAAAAGGCCTAGGTTCTGATGGAGGCAAAGATCCTGAGCCAAGTTGACATGTCTGGACAAAAACTCTGGAAATAGTGGAAACCTGACGTTACTCCTTTCTTTTAAAAGTTACACTATGATTTCTATAGCCACATTGAACAAACCTGGCTACAGACTTTAAGCTTGCTGTGTGACTGACTTCTCCAGGCCCTGTCTCTGCAAATATCGCCATGATGCTAGCAGATACCCTTTGGGGAAGGGCTGAAAGTGGCTCAGGAAGGAGTAGCAGAAAGAATAGGTTACCTCAAGATGGGAGTCTGACTCAGCACTTAATCCTTCTATTTCCGGTAGTACTAAATTAATATTAAAAATATTAGTAATTGCTATAATTCATCATACCTGTAAGCATGGTACTGTGCTAAATGCTTCTATTATATGCATTTTTGGATGGGGTTGTTGAGTCCCACACGGAGAAAAAGACTCGGTTAAACAATTTAACTGAGGTCACACAGCAAGTGCACAGTAAGAGTTTGAACCCTGATGCTTATCTGACTGCAGAGCCTCTCTCCAGCAGACACAGCTCCAGTCTCTATCCCCAGAAGGCTAGTGCTTGTTACCTGAAGTTCAGATGTCCTGCTCTGGCAGAAAGCAGAGCTGCTCAGCCCTCTAATGTAAGAGCCATGAATTAAGGTGACAGGGAACTAACTTATACTGGATGACTCCTAGCTTCTAAACACGGTGCCAGGTGTTTTACAAATAAGTTAAATGTTCTGTAAGGCTTTTCAAACAGTGTCTGGCACATGAGTTGTGCTATAAAAGTGTTTTAAACAAGTGAACAAAAGAATAAATAGCGATTTAAACGGACTGTGGTAGCATATTGCCATTATTACCTGGTTCTGTCACTTAACAGTTGGTGATTTGAGCAAGTTATGTCTAATTTAACAAGTGGGCTAACAATTGTACTTACCTCAATACCTACATTAGGTACATGAGCTATTTTGAGGATTAAATGAGACAGTGCATGTAAACTCCTTAAAACAGTGCTTGGCATGTAGTGCTTAGTGTATGTTAGCTATTTTCTCTCATCCTCACAAAAACTCTGTGAAAAAATAAATGCCTTATTATTTTATAGTCGAAGGAAATGAGGTTCGTTTGAGATCGCTCACCCTTGGTTGAGAAGTGCCTCCCACCTGTTAAGAGGCAGAACTGTGATTTGACTCTATGCTTCTGGGACTAGTCATTCTTCCTTCCACTAAACCATTTTCAGCAGGCAGCTCTCCATAAACTGCCTGCTGCTTCCTGCCCTGTGGCACATACACGCTCCCCCAAATCTTACTTCCTCTGCCTTTGAGCTTATGACCATTTATTCCGCCCTATAGCTAAAAATCCTCTTTACTCTTCATCTGTTGCAGCACTGATGGATCATTCTCTGGCCTAGGCCTGATGGGCATAAAAGACGAAGAGGAAAACACCACCTCAGACATGTGTTTGTGAGACTTCCCACCACCTCCATTTGCCATTTCTCAGCCCTCATGAGCAATGAACGGCAGAGAGAACATGGTCAAGGTGCAGCCTCTAAAGAGGTTACCAGACCTGTCTATCAAGCAGACAGCTTTTGTGGAATTGATGTAGAAGCTAAGCTCGTCCATTTATATGTACAAATTTTGAATAAATGCAGTCTTTGTCTATACAGGTTGAGGGGTGGGAGCCAGTTTGTACCTTCTTTGTGCCAGTGGTTTATACACAGGTGCTCTAGCAGGGTCTCATTTCATGCAGCCCTTCTATTAAATGGCATATACAGGCATGGAAGCGGGGGAGGGGCAGGACTTCTCGTCAGGTGTAATGCAGTCTGTCAGAGTATCTGTGAAGCACGTTTCTGTAAGGTGCGCACTTCTCATTGAGGGCTGTTACATAAAATTGAAGGAAAAAGGAGACTGAACTGATAATCTGGCAGTTCGTCAGGCAGAAAAAGGTGGGTGAGAGAGATGCTTCCTTCCCTCCAGAATGAGGTGCAGTGTCGCCCTTCACCAGTAGGCGCCTCCATCACACCACATCTCCCCTTAGAACTAGAAGCTGTTTCAATGAAAGGCATGCTCTGCTTTTTAAATCAACTCTTGAACTGGTAACAATATGTTGGGAAGAACACAGGTACAGCACACAAGTCTAAAACTGATAGATGTCTGCTGCCCTCCAGAAACGATGAACTAATCAGGCATGCGGTATTCATCATACCAAACACACCTTGTCAGTTACTGCAAACACTGAGACCAAGCAATCACATGTCTAGAGTATTATCCTGCGCTCATAGCGCAGTCTCACAAAAAATATGTAGGAGGAGGGCCTCCCCGGTGGCGCCGCGGTTGAGCACTGGGCTGCGAAGCTGCCCACAGCCTCCTCAGTGCCAATTCGATCCCCGGCCACCGGGCGAGGGTCCCACATGGGGCGCAGACCTCTCCTGCCGCCCACTGCTCCCCTCAGCAGTATACTTCGTCACTCTGCCTGTTCTGCTCCCCGCTCTGGCTCTGGTGAATTCTCTCACTCTCCTGCATTTCTGACTGTACCCAGTGCTCGTATAAATAAATCTAAAAAAAAACACCAATTTAAAAAAAATGTAGGCGGAGATATCACAAGGTTATTACAACAGAATTCTAAGAAGCCTTTTTTTTTTTAAATTACGTGTATGTGTACGTCAAGTCTCTGGTGGCAGTGATCTGTGGAAGTGGCAGTCAACCTCCACATCCACACTGTCTTTGAATCCCAGCTTTCCTGTCAGTTGTGTGAACTTACCTAATGTCTCTGTGTGTGGGATAATAATGGTATACCTCTCAGGATTATTGTGAAGATAAGATTATGTATTCATGGTGATAAGAAGTAAAGGAGTGGTAAAGTTTGAGTACTACATTTTTGAGAAAAGAAAATACAAAGATAGAGGCTGGAAGCCTTTATGCCAAATGTTAACAGCATTCATCTGTGGCTAGTGGAACTGGCAGATTAGACTTTATCAGGTGATCAGATGCTTTTCTGTGTGTAGACTTTAAAAAAAAAAAAAGCAAATATTTTATTAAGAAAAAAATCTTAAAATTTAACACAAGATTGAACATTTGAGGCAGTATTTAATCCTTTAAATGTAACTTCTATTGACTATAATCTGGCCCTGTGAAGGTTGGGAATCAGAAGCCAGAACTAAAGATCTTGGTTTGGGATTAAGACACAGCAACTTGGAGCTCCCTTGTAAAGAGAAAGTTCCCCAGGTGTACTGCCAGCCTCGACTGCAAGGCCCTAAGAACAGCTGGAAACTGACAGTATTTCTGGATTCTTTCCCACTGAGCTGAGCTTCAAAACTGTAGACGCGTAGCTGCTGTTTACCTCTTGAAACTCCAGTGCTGACAGCCAGAACAAGTGGCTCTCTTTGGCTAGGGACAGGCCTGCGTTGGGGCTTCCGCCTTGCTCCTTGGGTATTCTTGGGCAAGTCATTTAACTTAGTGTGAGTCCATTTCCACAGCTGTATAAAATGAGGCCATCCATGGGTTTTAATAACTGAAAAGTCAGTGATCCAGTTTGTAGAAAACGACAGAATAGGAGGAATGCAGCAATTACTTTACCTCTCTGAGCCTCAGTTTCATTACTCTTAAAATGGGAACATTAGCACCTATTTTATATGATTATGAGGATTAAATTAGGGAAAGCCCAAATTAAGTATTTGATAAATGACGTTTTGCTGAAGATCATCTTCCAAGAGCAGGATCACAGAGCGCTTGGGGTCCCATGGCAGGAGTGCACCTTTCCCAAAACCATTTATTTCCTTTTCCAGGACAGGAGGTTCCCCCGCGGACCTCTACTCCAGAACGCTACATAGGTTCAGACATAGGGCCTCCGAGGGCTCGGTCTGCACACTCTGTTCTTTCAGCCGATGCTCCCACCTTTGGAAGCCAACGCTGCCAACTTGGCCTCTTGCAAAACACATTCCATTCATAAGTGCGTTTGTGCATTTTTCCTCCCACACCCTTCTAGGCAGCCAATGATGAGCTGCCAAGGCAGCTGCTGGAGGAACAGCTTCTCATTTTGGGGGGAAAGCAATTCCATGGATTTTACAGAACTCTTGGTTTAGAATTTGGACATACTACTCCCCAAGTTTCTAGCCTCCTCGCCTCATAGTAGGGTTCTTCAGGACACTCAGTCTTGTTTTTCACTTTCTGTTGTCCCCCTTTTTGTAAATAAACTCTTCCCTATTATAAGGAAAACCAGTGACGGAAAATGAAAAATCCTGTAAAGTCAAAATTGTAACTAATTCTACCGAACAACTACCCTTGTATTTTTCCATTATTCAAAAGTAGTTTTAACGGCTATATAATATTCCAGCACGGCATGTCATAATTGCTAAAATATTCACTATTGTTAACGAAGTTTTCAAAAATAACACTGCCAGTTATCTTGCACATCTTTGAGAGATTTTTTGAGGAAAACTTCCTCGAAGTGGAATTCATTTTTACCCTGTTTGCTAACATGGATTTGTTTAAAAATCTCTGCCAATTTGATAGGTTAGAAAGGTTTTTCACTGTAGGTCTAATTGCTGTTTATTTGAATACCCTTTATATAGGCATCTATTTTTTTTTTTTTACAGAAGTTTTTTGGCTAATTATTTTCCTTCAGTGAGTTGCCCATATCCTTTGTTCATGTTTCTGTTAAGTACTTTTATGCATACTGAACTTTTCAGGTCTCTTTAGTGTCTTTTTGTCAATTACTATACACATTTCATTCTTTAAGATATTTATAGATGTTTGATTTCTTCTATTTGCATTTATGCTTAGCCTTAAGAGATCCGTTTGATATCCACTGACATATTAATGATGTTTTAATGACTTCATTTTTATATTTACACTTTTATTCCTTCTGGGATTAATTTTAGCATAGGGTAACTTCCCCCAAATATATGAGATTTTACTGTATTATCTATTTTTACTTACCTAATAAGGATTCCTTACTACCTAAGTCCATGTATACTGGACAGTGTTCATCAGTCTTGTCTTATAATCCATACCGCACTGTTTTGAAGCTCTATTTTAATATACCAGCAGTTTCAGGAGCACTACCCACAAAAACGGGGCCCATGGAGAGTCCCCATGAGCATGGCTCACAAAACACTATCAAGTTTGATGCTTCTCTGCTTACTGCATTGCTGCCGTAATCCACTAGAACTTCTTCAGCACTCTGAAGGCAAGAGACTGAGTCAAGGCTAGAATATTTACGAAAAATCCACGTAAGTGCCTATGGCTTTCGTAAGACTGAGCATCCTCAGAAGTCATAGCAAAGGAAATGAGTGATTAGGCTGGCTTCCGTGCTTCGCCTTCCCAGGGAGATGAGCCCTTTTGGACCTAGGTCAAAATCCAGAGCTCGAAGATGCCTTTCAGGGCCAATCTAGCCATGTGCTTTGGCAGCTAGATCTGAGAGGAAGGGAAGGAAGAGACTAGTGCTGAGGTGACCCTTCGATGCTCCTCTGAATTCTCAGCACTACCCTCAAGTACACCTTTCTTGCTAGAAAAAGTCCATCCCACCTGCTGTTATGCTTATCTGCTAAGTGTGTAAAGTTGCTTGCCCCCCCATCTTACCCCTAACCAAAAATTGGACTTCAGCTTATATAATCTGACCAGCATTATGACAACACTTTAGGGCGAAGCTCTATACAAGCATCCAAATCAGTATCCTTCATTTTGTTATTCCCCACACCTAATTCTGTGAGGCCCGGGCTAGGTGCAATAATTTAGGGCCAAAGCACAGAAGACACAGCTCAAGAGGCAACTATGGAGTAAATACATGGTTTGGGAGGTGTATTTTCCAAGAGAAAAAGTCACCCCCTAGATTTTCTTGCAGCCTCCATCTGATGCTAACCTTAATAAGAGGAAAATAATTCCAGTTAAGGAAATTGTATATATTCCCCTCTCTAACTAGAAAGACGATACAGCCATGACTGCTGAGCCCTTTCCAGCTGAAAAGATAAGGCACATCTAATCCCTAAAAGCACTCCGTACTTTCAGGACATGCCCCCAAGACTGGGAAATGTTTGTTGAGGCCAGTAGGCCTCCGTCAAAAAGGTAAGATGACTCCCCAATAGCTTTCCTGAATATAAACAATAACTAGACAGAAAATACAATTAAAGGAAGCTAAGGGTCGTAAGGGCTCGACCATAATCAGACTTCTAGAATGTAACAGCCAAATGCAGCCATGAAGGATGTTAGTCTAAGCCCTCCCATCACCCCAGTCTGGCGTAGGGGGAAGTTGATCCCCAAGAGCGACTCGGGAAAGGTCATGTGTGGCCATGCCAACGACCCCTCTCCTAAATTCACCTGGCAGGCTTTTTAGAGCTTATAGTGACTTAGTGCTTATGTGTCTCATGTACTTTATAAACACTTTGTTAATCCAAACACTGATGGAAATAATAGTGTCTTCATTATACAGATGAGTAAACGGAAACTCAGATTTCACTCACTTGCCAAAGGTAACACAGCAGTGGCACCCACAGTTTCTCCTTTGCTCTCACTGTTGCCCAGTACGTGTAGAAGCCATCCCTTTAGCACAGTGTTCAAATTCACTTTTTATTCCTCATGGGAGTCCGTATCAACTGTATGGTAGTGGCCGTGGAAGACTCATTTGCTTTTTGCCTGCAAGAATACTAGGATCCCAAAGGCCACCCTGCTAAGCTTTAGTGAAAAGTCAACATTCATGTTTGGAATCTGGGAATCCTGTGTTTTCTGGGTTATTTTTCAAGGAATTGTTATCCAGTATGTTGAGGGAGAGACTAGGTTCCCAGTGGGTAAATCTCACTCCATAATAAAAATCACCGATTTTGTATATTTTGTTCCAGAATTGGCAAGACTCAAGTAAACAAATTTATTAAATCCAACAGCAGGTAACCTTCCAAATTAAAAAAAAAAAAAAAAAACCATCAAAAGAAAGAATGTAGACATCAAAGACAAAAATGTGTGTAACAAGTTAATAAAAATATTCAAGGGGCCATTTGGAGAGTGCAACAGTGCAGAGAATACAAACAAAATATTGACTTTTGTCAACAAGTTTGTACAACCTCAAGAAACAGACACACTGGTCACAAACCAAGAGGAATCCACAAAGGTGGAGGGTCACATGAGCAGTGGACTCATCACCTCAGCGGGTTAAGGCAGGGAATCTGTAGGACCAACTCATCCAAGCCCCATTTGCCTATTGCTTCAAATTCCCCCTTTGAAACCTAGAATCATATTCATTAGTGCAACAGGTAAGAGCAATTAATCACAGACTTGGGGCTAGGGACCAGGGTCAGAGGGAAGACACTTCCCAGAATAAATGTGTGTTGGGAGGGAGGGGGGGGAAATACCCACAGCAGCTGCTGATTGGCTTCCTTTGGCAATATCTAAGATTTGTGTTGAGAGTAGTAGGGAGGGGAAGTAGGTGGTGGAAACAGGTGTCCACAAGAGCAGGCCGACTTTCCAAAAGGAGGAACAGGGGAGATGGGACACCCCAGCACATGAATCAGAAGCAGAGCTTGGAGATTACGCAAAGCTGTTTGAACCATCTTGGCTTTTGCAAACATCTTGTAAGCATCTTTCAATTAGGAAAAATGCCTGCTGATGCTCACTGAAACACAATCCTAGTCCAGGCTAAACTGGATGTGTGCTAATTTATCACAGCTTTTCAGAGGAATAAACTCTGAAGGGGAGAAGGATGGGAACACCCTCTATGTGATTCAGAAAAGATTGTGGCCCAAGAGGAGGCTGGCTTTATGTCATATGTCCTCAAATGAGGCCCAATGAACACACCTGGATAACTTTCAGCCGTTTAAACAAGTTACCGCTGAAGTCCCCTAAGGAAGACCTTTGTCAATTACCAAGATTTTCAAGTCTCCCAAGAAGACCTTTGTCAGTTACCAAGATGGTCAAGTCATCACTAACCAAACACTAGAGACACAAGCGTGGCAAAGCAGACATTTACAACCCCAGCAGCAGCTTCCTTCCAGCCCTTCTAACTATATAATTGGGTCTACTTTGGGGCTTTACTACCCTAAGACCTCATTTAAATGACAAACCAGATTCCTAAAGTACAGATCTAAAAGATTTTTAAACTTTTAGACCCAAGTCCTTATCCCAGTAATTTTCCATTATTTTTGGAACAAAATTTGGCAAAGCAGAGACTATAAGGTGATCAATTAACTACGGAGTCCCACACCCTGCACTCTCCGGCACTGAGGGCTGTTTTAGCACCAGCCCCTGGGAGATTGGTCCTGTTTCAATGACCAACTAATACTGTGTGGCTTAATCCCTTCTTCCTTTCCAAGAAGGCTAGTTTTGCACCTTCCTTAGGGAAGCTTAAAACACTGCCTTGTACATATCCAGCTGGATTTCCATAGGCATGGGGGTTTGGTTGAAATGTGATTCTTCACTTAGTTTTACAAGAGATGGGGTCTTGGACCCAACTCACACAAGGGCACATCTGGCAGGGATGAGGGAAGACTGGTGAGGCAACCAGCTGAAGCCTAGCAAAGTGTCATTACAGGAGGGGGGGTTAGGAATGATACATTCAAATTTGGCAGGGATGGGGAAAAGAGCAATTCAATGAAGCAACACTTCATCTCATACAGCTTTCTAGCAGATTGCTAGAGAAACACTATAGATGCTGGCAGACAAAACCATTTGCCAAAACCCAATTTCCCAACACGCTCTATTGTAGTCACCCTGATACTCAGATATTTTCCTATTTTCAAAATAGCACCCAAATCTTGCCCCACTTCAAGGGTACACTAGCTTACCTGAGGGGCATTTGGCCACTTCCACACAACTACTGCTTACTCATTAAGCAGCAAATACATTTCTAAGGTAAGAGGAACAGGACCTTTTCTTTCCCAGAAGTGTAACTGCAAACCTCCACACACAGCCTCTGAATCCCTCTGCAGAAAAACCGCTTTTCCTGTTGTGGTAATGAGAAAGTCAAGCATTGGCCTGGAGCCACTGCACAAATTTGAAGACCTTGCACAGAGGGCTCTAACCTGCAGGGAACAAGTAAGCTCCTCCCTTGTCTGGCCTCTCATTTGCATTTTTGTAGCCAAGAGAATAAGAATATAAACAAAACGAATTTACTGAAATGGCTCTTTTGTAGGGGGGCAGGGTAGCTGAATAGTTAATTAAAATACAAAATCTATCCAGTATAGTAAACCAGGTGCATGGAACACCCTGTAGGCTGGGGAAGGAGTCCAGTTCTGCGAGGCCTCTGGCTCCTCGGGACCTCCCTCCTCTGGGGTACGTCCCTCCTTTCACCCCTCTGATCTAAGAAAAAAAGAGCCTTACCTGGCTAGGAGCAGCCCGCCTTCCCGCTTGTTCAACCTCTATCCAATCTAAAACAGGGGGGAACTGGGGGAACACTGACTGAGAAAGTCTCTAAGATCTTAGCACCCTGACGAGTTGAGCCCACAGAACCTGCCTAGTGTACCTTGAGACGCTCTCTACACAAGGATCTTATGTCTTAGCTAGAAAAAAAGCCAAACACCCGGCCTGAAACCCCCTTCCGCTTTCCAGGGGGTGGTACTAACCTCCTGTGGCTGGTTTTAAGCTTCCCACCTGACCCTTTAGAAGGGGCAATTGCCAGGTTTAAGGTTAAAAAAGAAAGAAAAAACCTCAAGTCTGTCTCCTATGTCTTGTCAATTTTATAAAAACACCAACTGCAGCAACTACTTAAATAATCATCTGTATAAAGACAGGAGCCCGTAGCCATAAGGCTATACTGATAAAGGAATTCAAAATAAGCCATTCCTACCCAGGCTCAGAAACATACCTGGGATGGACAGGAGTAATTAGGGGAGAAAACTCCACATGTTTAACAGACAAACTCTCATTACCTCAAGAGTATAAATATATGTATAAGTTTTTATTTAAAAGGTTCTCTTTTGAGTCTGTCCAAAGTATTGGAAGCTGAACTATCCAAGTTCCTGCCACCCACCCACCCACCCTTCCAGTACAGTTTTTGAGGACATATTTCTTTAAATGGAAAAATAACAAGAGGACCCTCCACTGAAAGCAGGTAGGACTAGAATCAGCTCACGTGCGGCAGTTCGGCCAGAGCAGGCCTGTGGAGTGAGCGCGCAGGAGTCTGGGGACCAGGCCTCCCTCTTTTGAGGAAAGCCCTGATAAAATTCATCTTCTCTTTAGTGGAAATGGTCCAAATTCAGATGCAAAAGCCTCCACTGTGACATTCCCTGGCACTCTTCTTATACTTTATATATTGAAGGCAGCTCCCTCTTTTATGGCCAGTTTAAGCAGGCAAAGAAACAAAGGAATATAGATACATATATGTGTATATATATATTTTATATAGGTAAAATATATACATATCTTATATATGTATATATACACATTTGGGGGCAGGGAAAGGAGGAGAGGGTCATGTAAACCTAAACAGTCATCACAGTACCCCAAATGAGCCTGACATTAACAAAGAAGATAATAAATAACTCCTGGGGGTTAAGTGACAACATGGGTGCAGCAAGAAGGGAAAAGGGCACACGTTTAACTATTAAATACACTTCTGTATTTGTTTGGCAGAGTTCAGGCCAACCCCAGGCTTCTGCACTTGCCAGACAAGTAAGCTGATGATACTCAAAGAAAAAATTTCAAAACAAAACAAAACAAAACAAAAAAACTTCAAGCAGAGCTCCATACCACAGTTTTCCTTCAAGTCAGTGGGTCGGGAGGCACAGTTCTCCGACCACCAGGAACAGAAACTTTGGCTCCAAGGCAAATGAAAAAAATAAAAAAAAAAAAAGTATTTTCACAACATGAAAATACAGAGAATTCATCAAAGAAAGAAAATTATCAAAGTCTACTTCCAGCAAAACTGAGGTAGCACTGCTTTCTCTGCATTCAATGCTTAAGTGGTTCTCAGTACAACGTGTTCTAAAAAAACTGCTCACTTGACTGACAGGTGCAGCATGTTGATGGATAAACTCAACACGAAATGCAAAAGATCTAAGAAGGAATGAGCAAGAAGTGAAGAAAATAAGGGTTTCTGATAAATTAGCTTAAAAGGGGGTCGTCACCAGACTACCAACACTCTTGGCTGGCCTTGGCTCTCCAAGAGCTTTCAGTCGCCTGGAAATTAATGCAATGTGGTTAACAGTTAACACTGCTATTCAACTCTGTGTAAATCTTTAAAAATAATTATTACAACCTAAATTCAACCATGTAAACAGCACTACACACAGTACAGACCTGCCCTGAAAAACAATATGCAAAACTTGAGATCTGGCACTGTATCATTTTGTAATGTTAATTCAACCTAAGCGTCCCATCCCCCCTCCCTGCTCTACACCCTCCCTCACAAAAAAAAAAGTCTAATTTGTGCAAGAAATGGCAGGCTTATTCTATCTGGAGGCTTCAAAAAAAAAAAAAAAAAAAGATACACAACATGTAGCTAGGTTCAAATATTTTGGGGGACCCCCCAAAAAAAAGAAATAACCAAAATAACCAAAAAGTGAAGAAAGTGCCTAAAACATGATACAGCATTTTAGAGCCCTTTCAGATACAAGGCAGAGAAAGGTGTAAAGTAGAAAATATCCGGATCTTCAGTAATTTCCAGAAAGGTCCAACTCCGGTTGGCTGCAGGGCAGCGGGCAGATCCTGGCTGCTGCTCCTGGGACAGAGCCACTAAGTCTGCTCCTCGGGACACAAGCCCTCGGTCCCTGAGCTGAGTGTGCCTCTCCCTTCCCCTTCTCTTTTCCTCCGCTCCATTTCCCACTCCACAAAGGTATCGAACAGACTTGGCCAGGCCTCGTCTTCGCTGTAGTTGCTGAGGTCAGGACCAATCACCTGAGTGAAGTTAAGAAACATGTTCCAAGTGTCCCGGGAGATGCCCTTGACCCCCGAGGGGTTCTCTGTTAGGAAGTTTAGCCACTGGTCCAATACTGGGGGACTGTTCTGGGTAAAGACTAGTTTCCACAGGGCGATGGCTATTTCCCGATGCAGTGACCGCTGCCCTTCTTCAGAGTCCAGGCCAAACTGAAATGTAAACCGGTAGAGATCCTTGAATTTGTCCTCTTGTTTGGCTTCTGTTAAGAGGCTAGGGAACCGTGCACAGATCCCGTCAATGCTGTCTGCACTTATTGCTTTGCAGCCATCAAAAAACTCCTTCCTGCAATAGGAAGGAGGGAGCACAGTTAATAATTGTCAACAGTGTCATTTACTAAGAGGCAGTAAGCACAGCGATTAAAAGCATGGCTTTGAGGTCGAATTGCCTGGGTTTGAATTCCAACTCCTTTACTAATTAGTCCTATTTCTTCATCTGTCAAACGGTGAGAATCCCATCTTACTTCACGGGGTTTTGGTGAGGACTAAACAAGTTAATATATGTCAACTGCTTCTGGCGGGACCTGGCACACGGGAGGCATTAATAATGGCTCACTCGCTCACCCATTCATCTCTTCACAGCTCAAGTCCAGTCTCCTGCTCCCTGCTTTGTCTCCAGCATTCTGTAGAAGTGATTAAGCTGCAAACTCTCCTAGCCAGGGAGTCTTCCTGCCTTCCTTTTGATTCCCTTAGATGGATTGTTTGGGGAATATTTTTGGTATCTGACAGGGAGATTTTTGGAGTCAAAGATTCTGGATGAACCTCGATAATTCTGCCACCAGAGATTAAAACTGTTATTATAAAACAAAAAGTGTGTATATATTTTTAACATCTGCAAGAACACTTTGAAAATACAATGCAATCTCCTGTAGAGACAAATCATCTGTCGGGTAACCGACCCAGGGCTAGAAATCGTATGAGGTGGGGGTATAAGAGGGTGCCTCAAAGTCAGTTCTGAGTTATATCCACGCTCTGCAAACCACACTTCAGGCTGACCCTACCATGTCCCTGCCCCCCAGGCACAGACGACCATGATGCTGTGCCCAACAACTACCTGATAATGCCACTGACCGCAACAGCCTCGGGCTGGCTGAGGGCAGTGTGCTAAAGGCTAGAAGGGGCACCGGCTTCAGGCAGTGTCAGAGACACATCTGGGGAGTCATTCCATCAGCACTCACAATGCCTGGCGTAAGGCAGGTGTACAGTAAATAGCAGGTGGGGGAGGAGAGAATGGACAAAGGAATGAAAGAGAAGAAAGGTCGGAAACAGGAGTGGGACTGGGCAGCAGCTCGGCAATGGCTCATGGATGACTCCTCAGCTACCGATGCTTGGTGCCCAGTTTTTCCGAAGCTGCCTAATGTCTGGGATACGTCTGAAGTTTGACCTACAAGCTAGGAGAAGGCTTTACCCTGTGAGATGAAAGGTGGAGTATATATCAGAACCACATACGGAGTTTTATCAAAATACAAACACCTGAGTCCAAACCGCCTGAGAGTCCTACTCAGCACAGGCCTGCTGCAGGGCTTGGGACAGTCAGGAGGGCTTCTGTGGATAAAACCGTAACTTAGAAAAATTTTAGGCTTTACAGAAATTGATCAGAAAAAGAAAGACTTACCCCAAGCCCTAGGAAGCCAACCCAGTTCTATGCTAGCTGGACACCACTGCCCAAGGGTGCTGTCTTTCCTCCTCTGGTCACCTGGTGACATGAAGGATTTGTGACTAACCTGGTGAATTTGCACATGGTAGCAGCCTGGAACTTCCAAGCCAAGAGCAGCACTCGAAATTCCGTGGGGTCGACACACAGGTCATTGCAAAAGCGCTCCATGCCTTCCTCCAAAATCGCATCCTCCCGCTCGTCCTTGTAGCGCCTGAACAGTTCTTCCAACCTCTGCAAGGAAGACTCCTCGGCATTGGACTTGGGCTCCCTCCCAGCATCTCCTGAGGATGTTGGCAGCTGGCAGGACTCGGTGGTGGTCTCTGCCTTCTTGGTCCCATTGACGAGGATATCCCCACCCGGCTTGCCACAGGCTGGCGGCTGCTCCTCACGGTGGCCTGCACCCCGCCTGCTGTGTGACTTGCTGCTGGGGTCACGGTCTCCATTCTTGCTGCCCAGGGTCGATGAGGGATTCTTGCACTTGGTGACACACTGGCCCATGGTGCTGATGGCCTGACCTCTAGAGTGGCCCCCCCTGGACTGGATGCCCCTGCAGCCTCTGGCCCATGTGCCTCAACATGCCATCAGCCAGAGGAGTCAGCCAACCTGGAAGGAAATGAGAGAGCAGTCATGGCCCTTGAACAGGGAGACAGGGTGTGCACACTGCCCACCACGGTCTGCACTGCAGCCTCGTTCCATTTCAGCGAGCCAGCCGTGCAGCAACAGTGTGACCCCAAGTTCACCACCACCTCTCTCACAGGCCAGCTCTATACCTTCACCTTGGAATTATAGTGGCCAGGGTACATGTGGAGAACCAATCAAGAAACTATAAAATACTTCAGATGGCGCAGGCTACATTAACCTATGGAGGAAGCTGGTTCATGTGCAGAACACATTAAGGAAGACTCTGGTTTTGCCAAAAATATTCCAGAGGAAATCTGTCTTGCCAACTTGGCATCACATAAGAAAGGCATTTGGACCTGGATTAAATCAAAGGTCCACCTTCCTTCTAATCTCTAATATCAAAATTCTCACAGATCTTTTTTATTTTTACATTTTTTTAAAAAGATTTATTTATTTATTTATACAAGCACTGTGTACAGTCAGAAGCACAGGAGGGTGAGAGAATTCACCAGAGCCAGAGCGGGGAACAGAACAGGCAGACTGATGAAATACACTGCTGAGGGGAGCAGCAGGTGCGGCAGGAGAGGTCTGCGCGCCACATGGGACCCTCCCCCCACAGCGGCCAGGGATCGAACTGGTGCTGCAGAGGCTGCGGGCAGCTTCTCAGCCCAGCACTCAACCGCTGAGCCACCAGGGGAGGCCCTCTCACAGATCTTTTTAAGTAGGATGACTAGGAAGAAGGATGGCCACATCCAAGACAACTACACAGCTTAAAAGTGGTGCAAAGGTGAGGCAGATTTACAGAGTCAAGACCTTAAGACTACTAGGATTTACAGAGTCAAAACTGCAAGTCCTAGACAAAGAGCAAAGTAGTATTTGTCTCTGGTATCTACAAATCCCTTTCTGGGCCTATCCCACACAGAAGGTGAAGTGCCCTCTCCCCATCTTTCTACCCACCCATAGGAGCCACCCACCAAGCCTGTTCTCCAAGCCAAGTTTTCTGGCCCCTGAGCTGCTTTTTCCTCTGCCCCTCAAGTCCTCTGCAAGGCTGTACGTAGAAGGCACGCCAAAATCACACTCAACATCAGTGTCCCACCAGGCCCAAGGGCTCAGTCCCTAAGAGGGTGACACCACCTTAAAAGAAGGGCTCATATACCCAAAGACAATCTCGAAATGGCAAGGTAATTGCTAGGTGAAAAACCAGTCTGCATTGACACATAAACTCATCATGGTAGGTTATTAATTACATAGATAATTTAAAAGCTTATTAATTAATTGCTAGAAATTTCTGGGCCATGAGGGAGGTGATTTCTCTGAAAACTCTCTCAGGAATCTTATTCTTACCTTCAACTAGTCTACTAGAAGATCTATAATTTAGTACTTGTAAAAGGTTGCCACCTGCTGTAATAATTGCAGCCACTGAAATTACAATGTTAACAGAAATTTAGATCAGGAGCCAGAAGCTACTTAGTAGGAAAAGCATACAACAGAACAAACCACTGTCAGTCCCATACCTCCCACAATTCAGGGAGCACACATGGACCAAGGATCCAAAATCAGAGCTCTGAGGACACTGGCAGTGGGGCAAAGGGTGCTTCTTTTAATGGAAGGCTGGAGCTTTAACTTTACCTAAAGAACCTGACTTCCTCGAAATAGTGCCTGGATGAATTTGGGGTTCTCTTCAAAAGGAATTCTAAGGATAGAATTCTGAGCATACAAGTTCGAAAGCCCAGAATTATTCCTGCAGTTATTGGAGACTTCTGGTATCAGGGTGTGCCCCATTTTCCACCCTCAAAAAGAATCAATGACAAAGAGACAAGTCTGTACATGTCCTGAAAAGGACGTGCAGTTTCACCTGGGCTTCAAAAATACACTGAAACCGTTCTAAGGGTTTTTGGTATGGAAAGCAACTGAGCCAAGTAAGTTTCCCTTTAGTCTTTTCTGTGCTTTAAGAGTATTATCAGTAAGCCATAAACACAACCTATTAAAATTTTAAAAGGCAAAGGTAATTCTTGAAAGTCCATTGTACAAGGAAAGCAACTATTTGAGCTGAATTATCTCAAAACAAGCAGGACCGTCCCATGTGAAGGGTCCAGTTCCCAGATCCATGTTTCTAGACTAGAGTGCTGAAAGAAACAAAAGGCCCAAACTTACAAAAACCCCACATGCTCGAAACGGCCAACTCTGACTCCCAGGGACACTGACTCACCAGGGCTGGCTGCTCAGTGCCTGCTGCTGAGGGAGGCCCAGGCACCCGAAAGGTCAGACCCTGGCCTCTGTCTGACCCACCCACCAGAGGCCATTCACATCCACCCACCAGACACATGCTTCATTATATAGACCAGCTTCCTCCAAATCCCGGTGCCAAGGCCTTCAGGTAGAGACAGAACAGATGGGGCTCCCAAAGAGGCTTAATCCCACTTACCCAACTGGCCCTCCGCATAAGAGCATCTTTGATGACCTGACACAGCAGAACCAGCTGAAGCTGAAGGCTTTTAACATGCCCAACAGATGAAAAAAAATCAATTTGGAAAGATGATCAATCAGCAAGTGCCAGAAGGTTGACTCCCTTTCTCCCAACCTGCTCTGTTTCTCTGAAATGCCCCCCATTCCAATTCAGTATTGAGGTGAGTGGTGACCTCAAGCAAGAAAAAAATATTTTCAGATGTGATGGTGACAACAGCTGTTGCTCACTCGATGGACTCCCTTCTTTTGTGTCTACCTCTTTCTTTGGGAATAGTTTTGCTCCCAGAACTCTCTCAAGGTACAATCCCCGGGCCTAGCCCTGTGCTGGCAGCACTTCAAGTGTTTTAAAGGTGAAAGTCTCCCTGGAACCACTAGCTATTGGCTAATAGCTAATAATAGTAGTTATCAATTATTAAACACTTGATACAGTGCCAGGCAGTATGCTAAGTACTTAATGGACATTAAAACTCATATATCCTCACCACAACCCCATTTAAAGACAGGGAAACTGAGGCTCAAAATAAAGGAATTTACCTAAGATCACATAAATAGAACCAAGTGTGTCGGGCTTGAGAAATCATGGCCTTTACTACTAGGTAGTGTGCTGAGCCCACCTACATCAGAACATCAAGGGAAAGCCCACCGAACTCAGGAGTGTCCCCACAGCACTCCCAGAGCAGAGCGTCTGACCAGAAGCCACTGGAGAAAGAACACATGGTCTGTGCCCAGTACGCAAGAAGAGCGCCCTACCCACTGCCCTCTCCCAGGCGAGCCCTGCCACTGGATGCAGGCAGGGAGGATGCCTCGCCAGAAGTGGGGGCTAGGGAACCTATATTTGTGCTGCTTCACTCCACCAATATGGTTAAAAACTCTAGCTCTGAAATCAAAAATCAATTATTTGACCCTGCTCAAAACTTGAATTTTCTCAATCTGCAAAATGGGTCTGCCTAATGGACCTGTTTTAAGGATTCAGTCAGGAAATGCAGATGAAGGCACATACTCCACCACCCCTCCCTCCACCCCATCCCAGAGCACTTGTTAGACAGGACAGGTGTTAACAGTCAAGCAGTCTCTGGTTAGCTTGTTAGAAACCCCAGCTTGTCCCATCTGAATAATGGGCTCCGAGCTTCCCCTCCCCATGCCCAGCCAGGACTCCTACCTCTGCCATGCATCACGCACATGGATCTTGTTCAAAAATAAGCTCTTGAACCACGGCATTGACCCTGCTCAAATGCAACACTGCCCAAAAGTACCTGGGCAATTCAGGCTCTCCATGGATTTGCTGTCCCCTATGGACACTCTGAGCTGCTGGTCACTCCCTGTCCCTAATCCAGGTGAGGCTTTCAGCTAGATGTGGACGTTCCTCCCATCCCACTCGGTTCCAGCTCTGTCAGCTTGCTACTCATGTATAGGGACTGACTTCCCAGCCAGTCCTCCTGCTACTCTGAAGTGGAGAGCCTCTGGGTGATCTGGGCACCCCAGAGTCAATTTCTCCTCAGTAATACAGCATCACTATTAATGCTTTGTGATTGTTAGTATCTTAAAATAGCTATATAACCCTAACTCTATGAAGTAACTGGCCCCATTTTATGGAGAGAGATGGAGGTCAAGGAGCTACCCAGGGAGAAAAGAGAGCAGAAATCTTCAGAGGATGAGCTCAGACAGCACGCAAATCTGGATCTGATTGACGGTGATGGCAACAATGTGACCATCAACAAGGACCCCTCAAATGGGACAGCTGTACCTCACAAACTGTTGGGTAGAGCAGTGAGATAATCCAAGGACAAGCTCTGCCTAATACCTGGCTCCCAGAAAGCATCCACTCGGTGTTAATCTTTATACAGTTACTACCACAACGTCGGGGGCAGACCCACGCCTTCCTTCTCCTAGAGCAGCGCTGTTTCAGCGGCCAGCCCAGCTCTCCTGGGGAGTTCAGGTAGGCAGGACTCCCAGATGCCCACAGCAGTTCTCCTGAGCAGCTAAGTGGCATAAATGAGTTGAAGAGAGTAGGGGACAAAGACAATCACGGAGAAGGAAAAGGCAAGAAGAATAAATGAAAACAAGCAAAGTACAAATCCAGGAAAACTACTCCGAGGCAGTCATAACTTGGGGGGATTACCTGAAAGATGGAAGACAGTGACCTCTGCTTGGCCCCACTCAGCTTATCCTGGATCAAGATCACCCTTCAGCTTTTCTCTCTCAATCCAGCTCCAACTGCTTCTGCCTCCTCCCTCTCTGTTCACCAGCCTCCAGCCTCCCTCCTCCCCTGTGCCAGCCCCCAGCTGCCATTTCTGGGGATGGGCTGGCTGCCTGCCTGGCCCCAGGCCTGGACCAAGCACCGCTGGGCCAAAGGCAATCCCAGACACGGCAGCCCCTATGGATGCTCTGGCTCCAGGAGGGATCAGGATGCAGCTTCTATCTCTCGGGAAGTTCTGTGACGTGACAATCAAGCAAGTCCTGTCTTCCAGAGCTTCCTGCTGAGACAGGGTCGCCTCTCATGAACATGAGATGATGAG